GGGATGTGTTGTCTGCTCAAGCAGAACAAACTTGTGCCTCTCTTGTGAGAAATTTCAGTGATATCTCTAATTTTAGGGGATGGTTTCAGGCTAAAACTCCTCATCACACCCGAATGTCTCCTCACAGCCCCCCAAAATCAAAGAAACCCAGCAGTTTGTATTCTCTCTTCCTCTTTTCTACTTAAGCAATTCTATCCCTGAGCTCCCTGCTGGCTCTTGGGAATTCTGTCCTGAGCCACCTCACCTTTTTAGGAGGACTTTGGGGATGGGGCTGTGGATTCAGATGCCTGAAGGTGAGGTGTCATCTCACAATCCATGGCTGGAGTCGACCCTCAACTTCTACCTGAAGATCACAGGGATTTAAGTATGGAATTATATTAGGGCTTCTCATTCTTAGCACTGAGAACTCCTCATTTCCTGTCTGGGTGGAATTTCAGAGAGTTGAGAGGTATTTTATTTTATTTATTTTTTAAACTGGAAATATATTTGGTTATCTTAAATTTTTTTAATTGAGACTGCATTAGCTTCTGTTGACAGTACAGCTCTGTGATGGTGCTTGTAAAATTTGGTAAATTTGGAATTTATGGTTAAAATCCTTTTGGTACTTGTGAAATCCTCCTTTTTTTTTTTTTTTTTTTTTTTTAAAATACCAAGCCTGTAAACTCAATAGGAAACCTTGAAAACGTTAAGCCAGTGAAATAATAATTGGCAATATCTATGAAGACAATCCTTGGTGCTATTGAAGGGCCAGAGCAGAATCCATCTTGCTGTCAATACAACTTCAGCAGGAATTGTGTGGGTGGATTGGAGCACTTATCCCAGCCATTATGCAGCAGTGGCACAAGTTAATGGAACAGATTGTCAGGGGGACTGTAGGAAGCAATTGCATAGGAAGGAAGATGTGATTTATGTATGAGAGATAATACACTGCATGTAATGAGAAAGTTTGGAAAATAATGTATGGAGGAGGTGCACGGATAAAATCGTTGGCATAGCTCAGAAAATAACATTTTATTTCTGGCTGCATATTGCTTCCTCGAATTGCTTCCTGATTTTGGTGTTTAATTCAAGCTGAGTTACATTTGAAAAAAAAAAAAAAACCAACAGTGATGTTATTTCTGAAGATGACAATGGGGAGGAAAAAAAAAGACTGCTTGGGATCAGGCTAAAAATCCAGGGGATGTTTGTGTTTGCTCACCCTCCCTCTCTGTTTTGGAGCAATCCTTTTGGATCTGCCAGCGTGTTGTTTCTGTAGGGTGGGTTTGGCTTTTGTTGCCTTTGAGGAAAGTCTGTGAAAAAATGAAGAGATTATAACAATAACAGGAACAAAACCTAAAAAAATCCACCCCAAAACATAAAAGCCTGGAGCTGGTGGGTGTGGTGGTGAGGAGACAGAAGGAAGGGTCCCAAAGCTGGACAGGGTGAGGGGGGGACATGGGGAGTGCCCAACGTTTCTCCAACATCAGAGATCCAGGCAGGAGCTCCTGAACAAGGAATGAGGGAGGAGCATGAGGAGCTGGTGGTGAAGGTGAGGAGAAGGGGGTTGAGGGAGTTTAGGATGGAAAAGAAGTGGTGGCAGAGCAAAAGAAGCGCAAACCCTCAAGCTGAGGGTGGGCAGAGGGTCTGTCCCTCTTCCCTCCCTCACGGGACAGAGCACGAGCCTTTAGTTGCCTTTGTGGAGGTGAAGCACAAAATCCTCCCCAAAAAAACCCCATAACTGCTCTCACTTTGTGCAGTCATTTTGTCCTTCACATCCATTTATTTTCTTCAGGTACCAGGGATGAGTTTTCCAGCCTTTCAGCTTCCCAAACAAAAATCCCCGGGAAGAAATCTGATCCGTGAGTTGCTGCTTTACCTGTGCAGCTTCTCAGTCTGGCAGATAAATAACACTTTGCAGGCAGTGGAGCACAGTTTTGATGGGATTGCTTTTTTTGGGTGGGGCTCTCTGACATTCCAGGCACTGGAAGAGCTGGATTGATTGCACCAGAGTGGTGTTTGCCTGGAGTGCTGTGCTTCCCACGGTGGGATGATGAGCTGACATTGCTCTCTAAGCCTCAGCTCAGGCATGAAGGAAATAAATGGGACAAGGGGATGTCTGGGGTTGTGTGTCCATGTGGGTTTTGGCCTCTTGAATTAGGGATTATTGCCTAAGTGCTTGGGATGAGCAAAATGGGGGTAAGGAGGCAAAAAGTTCCATTGTTCTGGAATAGTTATAGCAGGGCTGGGCAGCCCTTTTCATCCTGGGAGTGAAGAGCTCTGTCTTGCTGAGAGCCACAGTGTGCACTGGCCATGAGGAGCTGTGGAGAGGCAGAGTTTGGGGTGGGTGCTGTCTGGGTGCCCCCACATTCCTGGGAGTGAGACCTGGGATCGGGGTTGCATCAGTCCTGTCGGTCCCAGTCGCCTCTTTGGGATTGTGTCTCACCAAGTGGGTGCTTGGGTGGCCCAGTTTTCAGCAGAAACCCACAAATTATTTACTAAACAACTTAGAAATTGCCTTCTTATCCTTGAGTTCTGAAATCCCAGGGCAAAATATGAACACACTGGGGTCAGGGGCTGCATCAGTGATGTTGGTCCGAGTCTCCTTGTCAGGGTTGTGTCTCACCAAGTGGGTGCTTGGGGTGGCCCAGTTTTCAGCAGGAACCCACAAATTATTTACTAAACAACTTATAAATTGCCTTGTTACCCTTGAAACCCAAAGTCTCAGGATGGAACATGAACACATGTTGCACTGGGCTCAGGGGCTGCATCAGTGGTGTTGGTCTGGGTCACCTCTTCAGGGTTGTGTCTCACCAAGTGGGTGCTTGGGGGCCCAGTTTTCAGCACAAACCCACAAATTATTTACTAAATAACTTACAAATTGCCTCCTTACCCTTGATTTCCGAAATCCTGGGCTGAAACACGAGGCACACACGCAGCCATCCAACACCTCCCTGTCTCCTTCTCCCCCGTGGCTGCTGCTCAGCCGAGTCTCAGGAGCGGGCGAGGGGAAGCTCCTCATCTGCTTGAAGTCAAATCAAAGTGTGACAAAAATGGTTAATTGAGCAGAGCATTGGAACAGCTGCTGGAGTGGCACACGAGTGGCACATCCCCACGACAGAACAACCTCCTGCATCGGGTACCAGCCACCTCGTTAGCTTTGAAGGCCTCGTTAAGGCGGTGTCAGGTCTCTGATGGCAGATGAGAAGGATGTTACACATCCTCTTAGTGCAGCTTTAAAGGAAGGGTGCGTGTTTTAAATGCAAATGTCGTGCTTGTTGTTGGGTTGTAGGGAGCAGAGCTGCTGTCTGAAGGATTGATTGGCCTTTTAAGTGTCAGGCAGCTCTATTTTTAGGGGTGGTGATGCGTGTTTGTCTTGTAACCCATTAGACTCGCTGCAAAGAGGAATCAAAATGCATGTGCAGGTTGTATCCATATGAATAAGTGTCAGTCCTGGTGTCACCTGGGAATCAGGGCAGCTCCAAGTGGAAGTGGTCCAAAATGTCATTGTGGGGTTGTTTGTTGGGGCTAAGGATAAAAATCACGACGACTTCTGAATAAAAAACAAACTTAGAGCAGCATAACAGCCCGATGGGCAGCCTGGTTTGGGTCTAATCGGGGGTTTTATTGGCACATTTACATGTTTAGCCTAGAAATGAAACCAGCAGAGTGCTGGGACTGGGCTGGGCCACCCCAGACTCGGCACAACCAGCTCTCAGGACCTGCAGACTTCAGATTCTCTCAGCTCTGAGTGCTTTTCTCACGCCAAGTCTCTCAATAGTTTTCGGTGATGAGCAGCAAACCCTTTGCAAATATTTCTATGGCTATTCCCCCAGTATTTACATCATTATCCCCCCAATATTTCCATGGCTATCCTCCCAGTATTTCCATGGCTATCCCCCCAGTATTTACATTATTATTCCCCCAGTATTTACATTATTATTCCCCCAATATCTACATGACTATTCCCCTAATATTTATGTGGCTATTCCCCCAATATTTATGTGGCTATTCCCCCAATATTTACATGGATATCCCCCCAGTATTTACGTGGTTATTCCCCCAATATTTCCATGGCTGTTCCCCCAGTATTTACATTATTATTCCCTCAGTATTTATATTATTATTCCCCCAATGTCTACATGACTATTCCCCCAATATTTATGTGGTTATTCCCCCAATATATATGTGGCTATTCCCTCAATATTTACATGACTATTCCCCCAGTACTTACATGGATATCCCCCCAGTATTTATGTGGTTATTCCCCCAATATTTGCATGGTTATTCCCCCAATATTTCCATGGCTGTTCCCCCAATATTTCCATGGCTGTTCCCCCAATATTTACGTGGCTATCCCCCCAGTATTTACATTACTATTCCCCCAGAATTTATATGGATATCCCCCCAATATTTGTGTGGTTGTTCCCCCAATATTTCCATGATTTTCCCCACAGTATTTTCATGGCTGTTCCCCCAGTATTTACATGGATATGCCCCCAATATTTATGTGGTTATTCCCCCAATATCTTCATGGCTTTCCCCTCAATATTTACATGGATATACCCCCAATATTTATATGGCTATTCCCTCAATATCTACATGACTATTCCCCCAATATTTACACGACTATTCCCCCAATATTTATGTGGCTATTCCCCCAATATTACCGTGGTTATTCCCCCAATATTTACATGGCTTCCCCCTCAATATTTACGTGGCTATTCCCCTGTAACTCCCAGGAGGAAACAACCAACTCTTGCTGATATTTCAGCTCATTGTGTCCCACAGCCCTCCCTGCTGACCCAAATGTGAGCACACAGGAAACATATGCCACGTTTTATTTGCCAGCTCTAGAAAAGATGGGTTTGGAGCACACGAGATGTCACATCTGTTTAGGCCACAAAATATTGCACTGAATGGCTCCCTTTGTGAGCAACTCTGCATTTCCTGATGCCTGTTAAATTGGGATTATAAGCTGTGTTAAATGTGCTTTATCTTATGAGTTCCTCTTCTGTTTGCAGCAAGGGAAGCCGTATGTCTTTGATAGAGTGTTACCTCCCAACACAACCCAGGAACAAGTTTATAATGCCTGTGCCAAGCAGATTGTTAAAGGTAGGTGTTGTCTTTGCTTATCCCTGCTTGGGGGGAGGGAAAGAGATGTCTGCCTGTCCCCTCGAGCCGTTTAGAGACTGGATAATAAATGTTTCGGTGTCTGGGTGGGAATTTAGTAATTAGTGATCCCAAGCATTTCCTTTTTTCCGGGGCTTGTCTGGGTAAAAAAGTAACCACAGAAGAGCTGAAGGAATCGCAGCAGTTGTTCCTTCCTTTCTCCTCGTGTTATTCCACACAAACACTTGCTTTTTGTGCTATAAGGAACAAAAAGTGTTTTCTTCATGCAGCGTGAGACTGTTCAGTCCAGGATGAGCGTGGAATATCTGTACCTTGGAGTGGGAGGGTGGACTATGGAAGGAGAGTGTAGAAAGCACTGGTTTCTTCTTTGCATGCACAGAGCTTGCATTTAAAATTGAAATGAGAACACAGGTGCCTCTCAGATAACACCCTGCTTGTTTGAAACAAAACCTTCATGAGCTGTTGAATTTTCATTTGAGAATCAGAGTTTTTGGGTGCATTTTTATCACTTGCCATAACCCCCCACCTCCCAAATCACCTCACACATGGTCCCGAGGCTGGGTGGTCCCTCCCTGGTGGTATTCATAACATCATGGAATATGCTGAGTGGGAAAGGATCCACAGGGATCATCAAGTCCCACTCCTGGCCCTGCACAGGCACCCCAACAATCCCCCCTGTCCCTGAGAGTGTTGTCCAAACCCTTCCTGAACTCAGCCTTGGTGCTGTGACCGTGTTGCAGCATCTCAGAGGTTCTGAGTAGTCCCTGGTTCTGGTTGTTCCTTGTGTGGTGTCCCTGTGCTCTCCCTGGGTTTGGTCCTTGGGTTTTGGTTCCTAAATCCAAGTGTGTGGACAGTGGGAATGGTGTCAGAGCCAGCCAAGGCTGGGTGGTGAACACTGGGGAATTCTGGAGATACTGGGGGTGTGCACAGAGGTGCAGGAGCTGCTGGAGCCATGTGGGAGGACCTGCTGGTGTTTTAGGGATGGAGCTGGATCTGCTCAGAGCTCCTGTGCTGGGAGAGCTCCCTGGAATGAGCAGCCCCGCTCCAAACCCTGGGTGCAGTTCTGGAGGAAATCGGTTGTCCCGCTCCGACAGCCTGGAGCAAACCAACCCGGTCCCACCCAGGTGATCGGGGGCGAGGTCCAGGAACAAAAATGTTGCTGTTGGAGAGTGGAAACGAGCCATAAAAATTCAGTTACCTCTTCTCAGAGGGAGCCTGATTACAGCAATTCTGCCTTTAGATGGGTAAGCCTTTAATAAAAACTGGTGGGGCTGGAGTTGAGGGATCATCAGCTGGGGTTGCTGACACACCACTCAGCTGTTTGGAAGTTTGGGAAGCTGTTCCAGGACTCCAGGGTGTGCTGACAGGAGCAGCACTGGGCTGTTTGAGGGGATTTATATCCCCTGTGGAAGTTGGTTTCCTCTGAAAATGGTGAGAGGAATAAAACCCTCGGTGAGAGGGATTTGGAAGAACTAAATCAGGGGGTAAATTGCCCTCGTGCCATAAATAGGAAGGAAAATAACTCTCCAAAGTCCTGCTGGGAAAGAGAGCTCAGAGTTACCTTCCACGTGGAAGTTTGGTGGGGAGGGGAAAAAAAGAGAAATGGGGGAAAAAGAGAGAAGAGGAGAATAAAAAAGTGAGGAGAGTGATGGGGAGGAAGAGAAAGGGAGGATGGGGAGAGGAAAGTGTAAGACAGGGAGTGAGGGAGAGCACAGAGTGGTGCGTTTTTTAGTGAAATATATGAAATAAAACACTAAAGAAAATATTAAAGAAATAAAATACTAATTAATTAATAAATAAATATGAAAATATGCACTTAGGATGTGGGGAATCAACACTGGGATTGCATTTTTTCCTAAAATACACTAAAGAAGATACTAAAGTAAAATAATCAATAAAACACTAAAAATAAAATACAGAATAAAATCCCCAAATAAATAAAATCCCCAAATAAATAAAATATTAAATTCTGTGCAATAAATAAATAATAAAATCCTAAAATAAATAAAATCCTAAAATAACACACTGGGGTGTGGGGAATCACCATTGGGACTGCATTTTTTCCTAAAATACACTAAATAAAATACTAAATAAAGTAATAAGTACTATCTAATAGATAAATAATAAAATACTAAAATACACAGTGGGTTGTGTGAGGAATCACCATTGGGGTTGCATTTTTTTCCTAAAATACATTAAACCAAATACTAAAGAAAGTAATAAATACTATCTAATAGATAAAGAATAAAATACTGAAATACACACTTAGGATGTGGGGAATCACCACTGGAGACTGCATTTTTTTTTTTGGTGATAAAATGTTATTTATTAATCAGATTATTTTCCCCCTTGGCTTTGTTTCTGTATGGATTTGATTTGGTACCTTGGATCCACCTGGAGCTAATACCCTTTTTCCTCTTTATTTTCCTCCTTTCTTTCTTTTAATTCAAACTATTTTTTTTTAAATTTAACGCAATTTGGCACAAAGTAGAAATAGTAGGAGTGAACTCTTAGGGAGCACTTACACTAGATTTTTTTATCTGTGCAATTATTATTTCTAATTGCTTATTTCAGCTGTCGTTTCCTTAAAGCAAAAATAAGCAGTGGCTCTATTTTTATAAGCAGATGACAATGCTAAATTATATTCTGTGTTTAATTAGAATATTTAGTTTTAAATGGCTTCACTCCAATTTCATCCTTAGTCTTGCTGCACAGGAAATGTGAGTCTGTGCAGCAGAAAAAAAAAAAAAAATCTCTTTCCCTTTCCTTTCTTTTAATCCATTTCTGTTCTTTGAAATAATTTTTATCTGGTTTTTTTTCTCTGATTTTTTTTTTTTTCATACTTGTTCCTTCTTCATTCCTTTTTGTATTTTTCTAATGTATCTTTATTTAATTGTCCTTCCTGTCCGGACCACCTGCTTGGATACATATGGAGATGCAAATTAAGATATTTTCTGTGTGTGTTTATGTAAATATAATATATATGACATATCCTATAATATATAACACAGTCATGTGTATATATTTACTATAAATACACACACACACACACAGATATATTTATTTCCTGGAAGCCTCTATTAGTAGAGATCCAGAGGGTGGGAAACACAAGTATATTTTCCAGCCTTCCCAGATTTCTGAAAGCTCCTGTGGGCATTAAGCACTGCCAAGTTAAAAATGGATATTTTTATATCTAAACGCAATATAAAATGACTATTTCTGCCTTGAAAGAAGTCTATTTTCAATAAAGCAAATTCCTGCTCATCTGACTTTCCTCTTTCTTTGCTCTCCTGCTTTGTAGACTTGGGGAAACTTATAAATTAATGAGGCCACGACCTGTTGAGGGTGATACAGCAGGGGAAATATAATATGACATTTATAGCAAGAAATGTACATGAATTGGTTTAATTTTCTCTGTGCTTTAAAATGCAGACAGTTAAGCTTTTCCTTTCCCGTGTTACACAGATGTACTGGATGATATGTAGTGTCCAGAGATATTTTTTCCCTGGAAAAATAAGCAATCAATAATCCTGCAATTCTCTAATTTAGATTTTAGTCTGATTTTTTTGTTGTTGTTCTAAAATTAGCTCCATATGCCATATTTTCCCCGTTGTTTACTGCAAAAACACATTTTCTAATTGAGCTTCAACGCTGTAAAGACATAAGAAAGGCTGATAATTCAGCTTTAAGACGTCAGTGAGTGTTTTAATTGGTTTTTTCTTCTTCTTGCAGATGTCCTGGAAGGCTACAATGGCACAATCTTTGCCTATGGACAGACATCATCAGGAAAAACACACACCATGGAGGTACAGTGGGAATATTAAATCAGTTTGGGAGCAGCAGTGGGATTTTATGTACCAATTACCTGATCAAGGCTGTTCTTTGGAGCTCTGAGTGACACAGAAAAAGAGATTTGGGAACGTTCGGCCTCTCCTGCCTTTAGTATTTCATTCAACGTGGAGTGGGGTTTTTTTCTTCCAAGAGATATCTCCAGATATCTAAATAAACTAACAAACTGTGAGTGGAAAAAAAACCATCCTGCCAGCTCAGGGGATGTGTAGATTTTAAAGGACTTGGGTGAGATTGGTTAAGGCACAAATGGAAACAGTAATAAGGGTCTGTCTGCAGAGTTCCCTTTGCAAAGGCAGGATTATGAAAATTCCTGCCTTGCTTATTGGATTTCTCATTTGCACTCCCCTTCTGGGAATACCCCTCTGGCATTCTGCAGTGCAGATGGATGAGTTTGGAATTGCTGCTTTGGAGGAGAATATGAAATTAGGTGAAATTACACCAAATTAGCCCAAATTCCAGGGCCTGGAGTCCTGTGCCTGTTCATTTTTCTGCCTCGTGAAGTGTGGAGGGTTTTTTTCCTCTGCTTTGGGTTCTTTTTTTTTTAACTGTTCAGTGTAGAAGACATTTAGACATCCCAGTTTTGCTGAAAAAGGAGGATCATTCAGGCATTTAATCCTTGCATGGGATTGTTCCTTCCCAAACTGGGTTGTCTCGTCCCGGAGCGTTTTGGTTCAGCTGCGAATTTTGCAGGTCGACAGCAAAGTTTGGCTGAGTGAGAGATGAAAAAAATGAGCTTTGCTGGGTCTAACACCACCAGATGGTTTTTTAACCTGAAGGTTAAAGGACAAGGGAAGCCAGAGGGCCCTGGTGAAATGGCTCCATTCCTGGAGGATGCAATAACTGGTCTAATTAAGCCCGTCCTTGGGAGCGTGGGGGAAATCACTGGCTCAGCCCTCACAGATGGCACAGTCCTGAGTAATCCACCAGCTCTGGGTGTAATTAAATCAAAATGTCTGCAGGGCTGGAGCTGGTGCTTCCACGTGGCACGGGGAAGATCTCCTAAAGCCAATTTATATTCAGAATTACAAGCTGTGATAAAGAAAATGACTGGAGAAAAAACCGGCCGGTTCGCTGCTCTAATAAAGAGAAAGCTGTCATTTTAGAGTGGAATCAAGTCTACATTCAGCTTTAATCCCCCCTCTTAGCCTAACATCCTCTTGTGAAGTTGCTAAAGTATGTTGTGGAAGGAAAAAAAAAATTAAGTCTGAAGTTGGAGAAATAGTAAATCCTCTTGGTAAAGCTGTTATGGAGGATTTTCTGTGAAATGTGAAATACTTCCTAGTGTTGGTGTTAAGCTTCAAGAGGATATGGTGGTATAATAGAGCCAGGATGGGCTTTCTGACAGACACAGGTCTAAATAAAAGAGTTGCCACCTGTATAGCAGGATAAACACCTGCTTAAAAAATCACAATTTTTTTTTGCCCATGGGATTAAATTGATGGGCTTTGACCTCATAGGAGAGTTTTCAGTGCTTGGCCCCCACAAACTGTAGTTATGATGTCAACATCCTGAAATGAAACAGCTCTGTCTCCAATGTTGCACTTCTCCTGCTGTGTTTAAATGTGGAAATTAATGTTCTGCTTAAAATCAGAGGCTTTGATGAGCACAGAACTCTCTGTCCAGGGGCTTTGGTGGAGTCTCCTAATGCAGTGTCAGCTTTGCAGCAGCTCCAAACTCTTCCCGAGGTTACAGCTACATCCATGAGAGTATTTGTGGTTTCTTTCTCTTTTTATTCCAGATTTCCAGGGAATATGGTGCCTTTACCTTGCTCTTCCTTTCCAGGTTGTCCCTTCTAGTGGAAGGTGTCCCTGCCCACAGCAGGGGGTAAGAACTAGATGGTCTTTAGGGTCCCTTCCAACCCAAACCAGTGGGTGATGATATAAATTGTAGTGAGGCCTCTTATTTTAATAAAAACCCTCTGAAGTTTCTCTTGACTTAAAAAGGGAGGAAATCTGAGCCCAGGAAGTTGTAGAAGTGGTTGAGTGTCGTGCACACCTCGTGTTTTTACAGCTTGATTTCTCCTGTGAGCTGGAAGGAGCTGTGGAGAGGAAAACATAAAAGCATTTTCATCACGGGGCTTGTTGGGGCTGGGAGAATGTTTAATTAAATGCTTTTACAAGTTGTCGCTTCCCAACAATTATTAGGGGACGTGTTTATGGGCACAGCGATCCCAAAGGTGATTTTGCACCTCTGTGGCACAACTTTGGGTTCAAAGCCTCCTTTTTCTGAGGCAACAACCCAAAGCCTCTGGGAAAAGGGGCATGGAATGGCTGGAGCATTCCTGGTTCTGGAGCTGCCTCTGTTGCTGTACTTTGTAGTGTATTTTGAATTTTGCTGTACTTTGTGGTGTAGACACAGCTTTGGCTGGATTTGTGTGCCCTGAAGAAATACCAACAAATCTCTGTTTATCCTGGTTTAGGAAAAGCTCCTTTCCCCTCTTTGGGAAAAGCTTTTCAAGGACTTTTCCAGGGAGAAAGGCTGGATAGTGTGAAAATAGTGCTGCTGTCACTGTGTTTTGCAGCCAAGCGCTGCACTGGCAAACAAAGTGTTGGGGGGTGTTTGCACATAAAGTTTTCCTCTTCATCAAGGGTTTACTTTATTTAACCACCCCCTTTTTCATTCTCATAGTCTGGAATAAAACAGTGTCTCACTTGGGAAGGATTTTTTAGTTTTTGAGTAGCTTAATAAGATACTGGTTATGGTGCTTCTGCTGCAGAAGGTGATATTATTTGTGTAATATAAACCAAATATTCGCAGTTTAGGTACATCTGAGTGCTGCTTTATGGGGAAGGCAGTCAGCAAGGGAACTGATTTATCTCTGTTCCCTCTTTTTTCTGCCTCAAGATGTTTATGTAATTCAAGGGCAGAAAAACCCAGTAAACTGCTTTAAACACAGGCTGTGGGATGGAGGGAGAGGTTATGTCAGTTCTTTGTGTTCAATTGCCTTCACCCCAGGTTGATGCTTAGAAGTTGACTGTCATTTCACCAGCTTTAGATAAATGAGGCAGTGTCTAAAAAGCCTATATTTGAGTATGCTAATAAAGGCTGGGGAAACTGGGAAAACAGGTCAATGTGACCCACTAGTCATTCACAAACACACATGATATTGAAAACCACATGCATGTGTGTATAATTTTCTCCCTATTTTGCTAAAAAAAAATGCTGGTGTTTAATAATTTTGGCAATTTGGAGTTGTACCATTGCCCTATATATTTACAAAAAGTAATAATTCCCCACCACTGTTTGGAGTAAGACCCTTTTTGTGCTGTTCTGGGCAGTATTAATTGGCCAAAAATATATTCCAAAGGTGTGTCAGAGGTTCTGGACACCGTGTTCTGATGGAGTCTTTGACTACTGACTTGTTAATGCATATTTAAACAGTTTCATAAAACATTTAGAAATAACAATGCAGTCCAGGCTGTAGTCAGAAAAGGTGGTTTTTTTTTCAAATTAATATTTCTGTTCCATTTCCAGTGGTGTTAGCTCTCCTCTACGTGCCTGGCTTAGGGGGAAAAAAAAAAAAAGCAATGCAAGTGCTGTGCAGCCAGGGAAATTGTTGGGATTAGTTAATATTCATTTCTGGAAAGAATAGAGGAAGGTAGTTGTGCAAATGAATATGGAAAGCAGGAGTGTTTGTGAGGCACAGATCTCTGGCTATAGGCCCAAGCGAGCTCAAATCAGAATATATTATTGTAATCCTCAAATCCTCACAACCCAGATTTTCCTTCTGCTCTGTAGCATAGTGGGGGAAGAGAAACAGGATTGTTTAATGCTCCTTTTGTTGCCGCCAGGTTCCCAAATACCTGGTTTTAACCGGGCTGTAATTTGTGTGTTTGTTTGTGTTTGTTCCTCTCCTTGGTCGGAGAGTGACGGTGCAAAGAGTGGCAGGAGCTGCCAGAACAAATTGGTGCTCCGTGGGGTGAGGAATTCCAACGTTTCTGTGCACTGACATCGAGTAAATCCCTCCCCAGAGCAACACACACCCATAGGGACCCTCTGGAAGAGGGCAGGCTTGGTTGGACAAAGCTCTCTCCCCTCTCGTCCCCGAGGGAGGATTTCCGAATTAACGGGTCGGTTTTGCGTCCGCAGGGAAAACTGCACGACCCTCAGCTCATGGGAATCATTCCAAGGATTGCACACGACATCTTTGATCACATCTACTCCATGGATGAGAACCTGGAGTTCCACATAAAGGTAAATGTGGAGCGACACGTTACGTAACGGGATGGGGTGGAAGTCGGGCCGGGCGGGAAATCTGCCCTCACGCCGCGGATTTTTTTCCTCCCTCCCTCAAAAATCACCCTGTAACTGAGGATATTTCCTAGAAATAACCTAACCCAGCTTCTGGTTGTTGATGGAATTTTTTTCCTGAGCGTGTTTCCAGCTCAAGTTTCCTGGGAAAACCAGCCACCGCGGTCAGAAAACACTGATTTCGCTGCGGCTTCTCCAAAGGCTGGAGCTCAGCCCCGCTAATAATGACCATAAATACCATCAAGGACATTTGTGGGAATACTGACATGCTGCTGTCTCAAGGATACAAACAGCCCTGCACAGTATTTGGGGTTGAAATGGGGGAGAGGTGGCTTTGGGCAATTCGTGGGAGGATGTTTAGAAGTAATTTTTAGCTCAAAAGCTGATTTATGGGCTCTTTGTGGTGGTGCTCTAAGGCTCCATTTGAACACCCATGTTTTTCCACGTCCCTGTCTTGATCCCAGCCACATGATCTCTCAGATTTATCTGAGTGACCTTTAATTCCCACTGTTCATCCAGTCTCCTGGGGAGCTCTCAGCCATGGGGGGCATTGCTCCATCTGGCAGAGTCGGGGTCAGGCTGCAGTTCGTTTCCATCAGTAAAATTATCCAGTGGATTGCAGGAAAAATGGGTCCTCTGGGTCATCCCCCCCAAAAAAACCCACAGAAAACACATCTAGATGGTTTCAGTGAAGTTCAGTAGCTGAGCAGAGGTAGATGTGAAGGCACTGTCCCTTCTCCTTCCAAGGGGGATGTTCCCTGGGAATGGAGCTCCCTGAGAATGGAGCTCCCTGAGAATGGAGCTCCCTGAGAGTGGAGCTCCCTTAGAATGGAGCTCTCTGTCCTTCCCGTGCCTAGAAGTTAAGAGATAAGTGACTTTTTAGTTCTGGTTGCACTAAAGCACTTGAAGCACTTCTGGGGGAATATATATATATATATTTATTTTAATAATCTGGTGCCTCTGAACCAGCTCTTCTGCAAGGACTCAATATTGAGAACCTTCTTAGCAGGGCCTGTTTGTGGGGTGCTCATGAAGTACAGACAGTGGTTTAAAGTACAAATAAACCATTAAACACTTCAATAGACCTTAAATTGTAAAAAAAATGTGCTCCTTGAGAAGAGACACCTCTGAATTTTCACAGAAATGGCTTCCACAGGAATGATTGCCACTGGTTTCTTTCCATTGGCTGCAAAAGCTTTTCCCACGTGATCCCAACAGATGGAGACCCCAAGACGTAGTAAATTCCTGCCCCAGCAGAAGATATCACTTTATAAATCATGTTCTGCCAGCACAGGATTGTTTCAATGGCTTCCCATCATAGTTGACATCCATGAATATCTTAACAGAAAAGCTGCCTAAATAGCAGGGAGTGAGTGAGTGATTGTGCAGGGAGCTGTCAGGGAGAGAAATGCCTGTTCTGTCATCAGGAGCCAGGATTTAACCCAACTGTCACACTCCTTTAATAACTGAGCCAACATTGAAAATTAATATCATTTTTTTTTTCTCCCCCTCTTTAATACAGATCCATTTAGAACAGGGAAGGGAACATGTGTTGGTCCTTAGCAGTGTGTTAATAGGATGATAAGAAGCACGTGGGTTAAGTCTGGCTTAACTGGAATGAGCTGGGCCAGAGCTTGGCTTTAAGTGGGGCACAGGGGAAGTAAAGGCACAAAAGCAACATGTATCTGTATTTAATGGCAGTTGTCACTTAGGAAGATCAACTTGTCCCTATAAAAACTCCAGATAATTTATTTTTCAGGTCAGAGAAAATGAGACTTTACTAAATAGCAAGTTTACTGATCCCTAGAATTTAACCACCTAGTTTTCTAGTTAAATAATCCCTGGATGAAGCTTATTTAGGGAATGGTTAGGCCCCACTCCCCTAACACATTTTGTTTGCTTCTGCAAGTCAAATGCCCTTTTATTAAAAGACTCATTTATTCATTTTCCTTCTTAATTTTTTTTTCCTTAGGGCAGTTGTGTCTCTTTGTTAGAGAAAAGCTGATTTTCAGTTTCTTCTTGATTCATGACAGAGTCGTGGGCTTAATTTAAAACTTTAATATTGCTTAAGCCTTCCTTTAAAAGTTTAATTTAATATATATATATTGTTTAGGCTTATGTAAGTCTTATGTTAAGGGTGCTTTCTGCTTTTGTGGAGGGCAATATCAATATACCTTTTACAGATCTCAAATCTGACCCTTCTCATGATGCACCTGCACTGATATGAAAGTATGAAAATATGAATTGATTGACTCTGCTCAATATTTTTTGTCAATTTTGCCCGTGTTAAAAATAAAAAAATAAGATTTTCCTGAAGGTTGGGGGTTTTTTTGTACAATTTTCTGTTGAATCATTGATAAATGGAGAGGGATCAATGACTTGTAAATCATTCAAGATACAAGTTATGTTCCCAAGAAGGATGTAATTCAAACTGTGTGGGAACTGGGGTTTATTTTAGTTTGGTGCTTTAACAGAGATGGAAATACAGGCACAGAGATTTTTAAATCACCAATGTTTAAACCTGTTTATGATTATTTAATTAGGTTTCCTACTTTGAGATATATTTGGACAAAATAAGGGACCTACTGGATGGTAAGTTCTGTGTTTCTGACGTGGCTGAGTGACTTGACTGGTGCTTAAGGGGAAACAGTTACTTTATTTGGGAGGGAATTAAATTTAAACTGTGTGACTGGCTTTGAGAAGGAGAATTTTGCAGTTTAAATCATCTGATCTGTCTCTTGTGCACCTGCCTCTGCAGTGCTACAGAGCTTGGCTATGAATCAGTGAGCACAGAGGGTTTTACAGACCTCAAGGCAGGTCTGAGCCTCTCTGGCAGTTGATATTCTCAAAGTAAAACTGTATTTAAAAAATAAGGAGAGTGTTTTAGAGCACGTTCAGTTCAGATTACTCCTTGCTTTGCTTCTGTTAAGAGGGTTTTACACATTTAATACATTCAAAATGTGCCTGCCAGGACTACAGTTAACACATGTGGAATGTTCCTGATTACCTCAATCTTCTTTTCTAGTGTCAAAGACAAACCTTGCTGTACATGAAGATAAAAACAGAGTCCCATATGTTAAGGTAAAAGGATAATTTAATCCTCAGTTTTTCCTTCTTTCTCACACGTGCATCTATTTGCACATTTCCATTTACATCCCCCTGAAATGATTCAGCTCGTGTTTGAAGCCTCAAATGTTCAGGTTGTATTGGCTCCTGGATTGAAACAGTTTCCTGAAATATTAATGGCCTTGAATCATGTTTGTTTTATTTGCCTGACTTTGAACATTTCCATTTTGTTGGTATGGTGTTAAATTTTAAGTATTCCTATTCCCCTTTCATGTCAGATATGAAGGAGAACAACCTGAAGAATTTTGTTCTATAATATTTTGTTGCACGGGTGCTTTAATCTTGTAGTACTTTAGGACAGATTTGTTGGGTTAGGAATCAGTTTTGTGGATTTCTGGGCCCTCACTTAAATGTGATGTGTTTGTTATGGACACATGTGAGCCTTAATAATACACATAGAATATTTTTCTGTTTATTCTCAGCCTGAGGGGCAAAAAAACCCCAAGATAAAATAATGTATTCAGTAATGTTGCATTGAGACAGAGAACAAGGACTTTGCATCTTGTCTTGTAGTTTGAGAGAGAACAATTAATTTGGGTATGTAAATCCAACCCAAATTATTAACAGGAATATGTGTCATATGTCTTCTACATAGAGAAAATTTCCTGCTGCATGTTTGGGTTTGGCTGAGTCTTTAATCTTGTGAAGAGCAGTTTCCTCCCAAGTTTTACCCCGTGGACTCCTGAAAGTCACCCAAAGGCAGGTTTTGGTCCATTGCCTCGCTAACGAGCCTGGTGGATGGGGATGGTTCTCCTAATTATTTCGTTCATTAGTGCTAAATACTCCTCCTGACAGCTTTTGGAGCACTAGGAATGTCTCTGATTCCCACTTGCCTCTTCCTAGGGTTGTACAGAAAGATTTGTGTCTAGTCCTGAAGAAGTTCTGGATGTCATCGACGAAGGGAAGGCCAACCGGCACGTGGCCGTGACAAGTGAGTGTTCCCTGGCTCCAGGGTTTGGGTGGTTGTACCTCCTGGTGAACTATTGATCCTTCACAAAGCACTCTGAGTTACTTACACCAACAAATTATAACCCTTTAAAATTAATAGTCTGTGCTTTTGTGCCCTTTCGCCGCGCGCGGAAACGTCGATCGGCTCGCGGCTGCGAGCCCCCGGATTTAAGACGTGGCGTTGTGTTGTTCCATGAGCCATCCCAGCGTGGGTTGTTGCACAGAATAAAGGTGTTTGGGAATGGTGAATAACTAAAATGGTGAATAACTAAAATAACTTGCATTTCTCTTTGTGCTGCAAGGCCAGAACTGGGAGCGATTCACTGGTCAAAGTGCAGCCGAGGAGCGCAGAGCAATTATCAGCCTCTGCCTGTTCATCTCTTGCAGTGACCTGGATGGAGTCCCAGTGATGGCAAAGCAAACAAATCTTCCTGAATTAAACCCCATAATAATCCCTTTGGCCCCTGCCAAACCTGTTGACTTGCTGGCATTGCAGGGATGAAAGGGCCTGTTCCCCAGTTTGTACTGGGAGATGTCTTTGATCCAACAGCAGACTTGGCAGAGCCTCAGTTTATAACTCCAGCCTTGGTGGTGGGGTGGTATTTTGGGTATATGTTTTGTTTTTTGTGGTTGTTTTTTTTTTTTAATTTAATTTAATTTGATTTATTTTGATGGGTAACTCCTTTCTCTTCCACGTCTCTACCTTCTTTCTTTGAGAAATGCTATATTACCTCATCTCTCCCGTGCTTTTCCCATCATACTGATAGAAATTCCTTCTCTTTCTTCTGAGTAGCATTTCCTCCCATTATTTCTGCTATTTTCTTCAACCAAAAAATACCCAAATACATCTTTTTTTCTTTTTTTTTTCTGGGATATTACCTATTGCTTTTGGTGCACTTGGAAAAGTTCTGACAAAGGTTGACAGACAATGAATTTTACCTGGAGAAAATTGGGAAATGTTATTGGAAAAAAAAAAGAATTCGGAGATCGAGGAGGAAAAGGGAATTTAAATAATTATGAACATTGATGGGAGTGGGGGAAATGTGGAACTGGTCTTATGGGAACAGAGAAAACAGATGAGAAAGTGGTTTACTCAGTCTTAATATTTTCTTTTTGCTACTTCATGAAACTCCAAGCATAACATAATTACAATCACGCTTAAAGCAAGTGGAAGCTGAACTTGTAGCTACCTGTGTGAAGGAGGATTGTGAAGTATGTAAGCAATTAAAATCATTCTGAAATTTGAATTTAAATAGTGTGGGTTTAATGAAAACTTCTGCTAAACTTTGGGAGACCTCACACAGTTGCACCAAGACCTTCCCAGCTTCTTTTTATTGCAATTATTATTATTTTGGTCGTGCTGGGAGAGAGTGGAAGCTTGTTTTGTAGCCCATGAGCTTTATTTAGGGCTCTTGCAGTGGTCTGGGCTCTCCTTGTGTTTTTGAATTTGGTGACCATAGCCCAGCTCTGATGACACCCAACCCCTTGTCAGGTTTTAAAGCCATTTAAACCAAGCCTGTGATTGCAGATATGAATGAACACAGCTCCAGGAGCCACAGCATCTTCCTTATTAACATTAAACAAGAGAATGTGGAAACTGAGAAGAAACTCAGTGGGAAGCTCTACCTGGTGGACTTGGCTGGAAGTGAGAAGGTGAGTTTTCCTTTCCCCTGAACGATCCTGGTGGGATCAGTGCAAACTGAGGGAGATTTTACAGAAAAATTACCTTAGATTCTCTTTAGGAAGGTTATTTTCACTTTTTTGAATGTGTGGGATGGAGAAAAGGAGCAAATCTGAACTGTTGGTATGAAATGCCATCCCCCCAAAACCTGCAATCACTTATAATGGAGTGACTTATATATATAACTTTACATTTAGTTATGGGTGTTTGAAAAAAGAAATGTAATTTTTATTGGACAGCTATTTTAATTTGCTTATATTCAAACGTATCCTGTTTCTAGATTTTCTGTAATTATTGCACATATTACAATGAAATGCCAGCAGTTAACACAGTTTTGTACCTTAAGTCTTTTTGAACTCCCTGAATGTCTCTCTTGATTGTGGTGACTATTTCTCCTTTCCAATGTAGAAAAATAATAACCAGAAAAAACCCTTTATCTATTTGCCAAAAGAGTAATGGTCTAGAACAGTATTACAGTGCAAAAATATATCCCAGTTCTCATTCTCATGCCTTCTGGAGTGTTCAAAACTGGTTTGAATGGTGTTTTCAGGTTGCTTGTTGGGGCACACTAATTGATAACCCACTGGTACAATGCAGGAGTTAATAATGTTGATGTCTATGATTGCATATGTTATTATGTGTTAAATTAAAAGCTCTTTATGGTGTTTATAAAATGGGGGCCTACTCAGGCACTGCACTTCTCTGAAAAAATTAACTTTTATGGTTCACTATGTTTGGATGTTGTACAGAAAACCTGAAAGAAGGGTTTCCTTGGTGGGTTGTCTTCTTAAAAAATCCAATTATTTTCTTTTTTATGTCATGTAGCATTTTTAGAGGAAAGTACAGATAGTGTAGTTTTAATTAGAGAAAAAATATGGCTTTATTCTACATTTCTGTGCCTTTCCCCACTCACCCCCTCAAAAAAGAGAGAGAGAACAGACTACAAACCCTGTTGCTGCCTGGAGGAGTGCTGGTCCCAGGACACCATCCTCGGGATCCAGTCTGTGGACAGCAAACCCTGCATTCGGGATGAGTGGGATCACACTTTCCTGTCCTGATACTCTCAGTCCACACAGGCCAAATACAAAGCCAAGATGCTCATTTTGAGTGTGCCCTGAGAACGTCCCTGTGGTGTTCCCTCTCTGGATGGTCTTGGAATTGATCTCCAAGTGTGCTCAGGCGAGCACAGATTTCTCTCCCTGAACAAAATAAAGGTCAACTTGCTCTTAGGGGTGGAATTATTACAGGCCTCCCCTAACAAAAAAGTCCATGTAAAGTTCTCCTCCTTCATGCTCTTGGCTTGTTTTAACTCCAAGAGCATCTTTAGCTGTTGCACTGTAGCTCTGTGTGTGCCCCCATGGCTGAGCCTGACTGTTCCTGCTCTCTTTGGTAGGTCAGCAAAACTGGAGCGGAGGGAGCTGTTCTGGATGAAGCTAAAAATATCAATAAGTCTCTGTCTGCTCTAGGCAATGTGATATCTGCCTTGGCAGAAGGAACTGTAAGTAATCCTGTTTTGTGTCGTTGAAAAATGGCTTTTTATTTATGTGTTTCTTCGCCACCCGCATCGAGGAGGAAAAAAAAAACAAACGAGCTAACATTTCAATTCAGAAGGAAGAAAATATTGGCTTTCCAGCCACAAACCAGTGACACTCGTGCTGCTCTGCCCGAGATAAGAAGCTAATTCTCAGTGATTTCACTCCAGTGGTTATCCAATCTTAGCACAATCAAAACAATTACCCCTCAGAACCGCCTCAGATCTGTTACACCTGTCACCGTTGGCTCTCGTGTTTAAAATGAAATTGTTCTTGTCTCTCGCTTGTGTTTGGATCAGAAAACCCACGTTCCGTATCGAGACAGCAAAATGACCCGGATCCTTCAGGATTCCCTGGGTGGGAACTGCAGAACCACCATTGTCATCTGCTGTTCCCCCTCGGTGTTCAACGAGGCAGAGACCAAGTCCACCCTGATGTTCGGCCAGCGGTGAGTCCTGCTGGGAATCCTGGGGGACGCTCCCCTGGGCTCTTCCACGTCTTCCTGGGACTGAGAGGGAATGAGGCAAGAAGGGAGTTAAAATAAGGAAGTTATGGTTTCTGGAGTCGTTCAGAAATAGGACTGGAGAAGTTGAGAGAGCTGTCCCTTCGTTCCCAACGGCACCAGAAAAATAAATGTTAATGTTGGCCAGCAGCTGCTCTGCTTAAAAGCCCTGGTAGGTTTTCCTGCAGAAAGTACAAAGTGTTATCACAGTGCTTTTGGATTTTATGGGGAAGGTAATGGCACTGGGCAGTTTTCTGTTGGATAACCCAGTGGAAAATGTTCCCTTTTGCTTCACCTGGTGCTGCCCTCGATGCTTTTAAGAGGTGTCTTCTCCTTGAATGGCACCTCAGGGATCGTCGTTAGGGTTCTAAAAAATATCTTTAAACCATTAAGAAAATGGAAGAATGTGGACCCTGGGTAACATTGACAACTTGGATGGATTGCCATGGTGCTCATGGACATTCTTGTGTTTGAAGGATCTTAACAAGCCCTCAGAAACGAGCAAGGACAAGATAAACGTGGATGTATCCAGGAAGAAAATTTCTCTCCCATATGTGTTCGTTGCCAATAATCATATGGAAATGCACTTGGAAAGTTTGCAGAAGTAGGTCAGGCTCATTATGTAATTACTGCTCTTGTGGTAATTGAGGAGAACTTGGGTACTCTGGAAAATTACTCATTTTGATTTATTTGTGTAATAGCAAAAAGGAAAAAGCCTAACAGGTTGGGATTGTTAGAAGTAGAATTTAACAGTCTGTAGGATGCAATGAATTTGTCTGAAAATGGGTTGTTTTCCACCATCTGTAATTTTGGGGCTACAAAAGAAGGCAGTGGCCATTAACTTAATCAGGTTTAGAGCTGCCATGTGGTTTTATTTCACCATTTTATGATAAGTTACAGGTTATTGAATATACAAGCTTCTACTTCCCATACCTATGTGTGCCACAGAAAATTAAAATAAACACAATAATTACCACAGCAATTAAATAAAAGGCATTAACAACTCTGAAGTCCAGCTTCCCTGTTAGATTCCAGTTTACCTTCCTCTTGGTTTCGTTTCTCCTGCCAATATTCAGTAAAATTGGCCTTTCTGTTTGGCAAAACGGTTTTCAAAGCCACTTCTGGCATCCTGACTGGCAGAGCCTGGAATGATGTGATTTGATTAAAACTTCTCTGGGAAGAGGAATATTTCATTTTTCTGGTGTGACACTGTTAAGGACCTGAATACCATTAAAGGGAAGGTACACGACTCAGGGGTCATTACTGGTTCCTCCATTTTTCCTAGCTCAAAAAAAAAAAAGTTATATCATCATTAAAATAAGTGTGAGAAGAAAAATTCATCTTCACAGGCCCACTACTACTAATCAACACATACATATCCTGCTCTCATAGTAGTGAATCAGCTTATTCTCTTTCTACTGCACCTTTACTTGTGGTTTTATATAAATTTTCATTTTAGTTTTCTTCATCCATCATTAGGATAAACTTTATGGTGTGATGGTTTTTTTTCCCCCCGGTACAGTTAAATGAGTGTGGAAACTTTAGCCTTGCTTTTGACAGAGACAATATGTAAACCCTGGCCATTAGGAGTTATTTGAAAAGCACGGGGTTATTTTAAAATACTTTTTTAAGGTACCAAAACTTCCTGCAAAGCACAAACTGGTGGGAGGTTTGTCTGTTATTCCTCTGCTTATCTTCTGTTTTATTCAATGACACCGGAGTCATTTGGAGGGACTCTGTCTGAGCAGTGGAGGGCAAAGATCTGAAGCTTTCTTAATTCACAGTGATTTGTTTGGTTTTTTCTTTTGCAGTGTGGCTTTGCTGTTGTAGGTGCTGTGCCTGGTTTTCTGCTTGCTTTGCATTCCCTGGCACGGTTGTGGAGGGCGGGTCGGAGTTGGGCACTTTCTCAGGAACAAAGTGCTGCTGGTTGTTGTTAGAAGGCTTTAAATTTTGGGGATGTTTTTGCCTAGAGAGGCAGTAAATCATGAGTAAATCATGAGTAAATCATGAGCCAGTGAACTCCAGTGGCACAGGCATGAGTTGAGCCTCCGTCCCTCAGCCCTGGAGTAACCCTGGTACCCGGCGGTGACCCCGGTTTCTCCTCCCTCCCTTCCTTCCACCTGCAAAATTGAATTTATATGGCTTTCAAGAAGGACAGATTTCCATATTTGCCTCGCTGGGTTGACATCCTTTATGCTGAGATGTTGGGAACACGGCTGAGTTTTGTTGGTGGGGTTGAAGGGATGGTTGTGACGGGACGGGGAGAGATGGTGGTCAGATGTTGTGGTGGGTCTCGGGCCAGGAGAGGCTGTGAGGTGACAGCTCACCCAGCACAGCAGGAATGACAGGGCTTGGCTTTGTACTTAATCCAAGCACACATTCCAGAGCTTCTCACTCTCATAGAATCCTAGAATTTACTTGTGTTGGAAGGACCTTAAAACCCATCCCATTCCACCCGCTGCCATAGGCAGGGACACCTTCCACCAGCCCAGGTTGCTCCAAGCCCCGTCCAACCTGGCCTTGGACACTTCCAGGGATCCAGGGGCAGCCACAGCTTCTCCAGGAGTTTCCCTTTGTGTTATGGCCAAACTTTGCACTGAGATAAAAGCCAGGCTGCAGCTGAGCCCGGGTTTTGTTGTGCAGAGCCAAGACCATCAAGAACACGGTGTCTGTGAACCTGGAGCTGACGGCCGAGGAGTGGAAGAAGAAGTATGAGAAGGAGAAAGACAAAAACAAGAGCCTAAAGAATGTTATCCAACACCTAGAGCTGGAACTGAACAGGTGGAGAAATGGTAGGTGCCAGGAATCGGGAATGGGGGAGTGTCTTTGTGGTATTAAGTTACATATGTTTAAATCTTGCCTTAAGTCACTAATTCTAAGTTCACATTCAGTTGTAGCTCAGGCTTCAAAATAGGAACTGAAAGGTGAAGAAGCAAAAACCAGGGAAAGCAGCAACAGCTGTTTACAGAAGGAACCATTTAAATTCTCAAATTATTTTGATGTCAGGTGTAGAGAGTACAGGGAGGCATCGCTACTTTTAAAGATGTTAATAATATTAATAAAGAAAAGGGAAAATGGCATTTTTGGAGGTTTTTTTGAAAGAACTCTGCTCCTCAGGCTTGAGAATCAGTTCCATTGTGCTTTAAGGTAACTGGGCCTTGGGGTTTTTTTAAAATTGGGTTTAACATTAGAATAATTAGTCCTTTAGTACAATGATCGGGAGTGATATCTGGTTGGAAGAATCACCACTTGTCTCCTTCTGTGGCTTTTAAGTGAAGTTTATACTGAGAACAGCCAGTTTTCTGTTTAAAAACAGAGGAAATTGCTGTTCAGGTAGGTTGTAAAATCAAGTGTAGGATGGTAGAGAAAGATTAATTTTTTAATGCATACATACAATTAAAGACGTTTTATTTAATCTGGAATGTTGAAAAATAATTTTGTCAAACCATCCTTACTTCAGATTTTTTATTTCACATTTAAAAAAATCAAACCCCACACTCCAAACCAACAAACAACCCCCCCCAACCCAAAGAAACCAACCCAGCATCCCTCCCGAAATCTCCACAAACCCCTGACAGTAAAACCCAGCTGCTTTGGAGCAATTTCTATTTTTTAAAGTGCTTGTCATCCAGGTCCTGTGTGTTGGTGTGCGAGCCAGAAGCATCTGAAGCAAGAACAAAATTTGTGATTTAATTAGAAGTCACGCTTTGTGATCTGGGTTTGAACAGCCTGGGTGCAGCCGCTGCCTGGAAGATAATACCTGACCTTTGTGGGCTTCCCTCTCTCATCTCCCTGTGCTGTTTGCTTGCCTTCCAGATGAGATGGTTACCTCATGATTGTGCTCCCTGCCTTTCTCTGGAGGCTCCAGCACGGGGAATATTTCCCTTATCAGCACAGTGCCATTGCTATGGAGACGTGGGGCTGCTCTTGGGAGTGCTGGGATTTACAGCCTGCTTCTTCTCCCTCCTTCACCCCGTGTTTGCTGAATGGGACCACTTTCATTTCCTCCCCAGCCCAGAATCTCTTTTTTTTTTGTTTTTCCAGAAATCCTTTCTCTGTGCTGTGTAAACAAGCCTGTCTCTGCTGTTTTGTCTAAATACTCCCCCTCCCCATCCCCCCCATCAGCCCTGCTGTTCTCATCAGTGTTACCCAGCAATACATTCAAAATACTATTGATTTCTTGTCTGACCCTCTGCAATCCCATCCTTTGGAAGGATATGCTGTCAAAGGGGCCTCTTTACAAAGGAGAGTTTCACAGGAATTGCATCTTGGATAATATTCCACTGGCGTGGTTTATTCCAGAAATTCAGAGGATATTATACAAAATAAATAGATATTATGCAATATAAAATGGTAGCAGGAAATGGGTGTGCCCAGTCCTCACTGGGGCTGGATTTCAGCAACCAGGTCTGTGTTTTACAGGTAGGAGGTTGTTGTCCAATGAATGGAAAATCAGACATTCCTTTTGGGAGGCTCCTGATGGATTCTCCACAGCCCAAGGAGCACTGCCCTGTGTACAAGCCTGACTGAGCCCACCTTCCCTACTCTGCTCCAGTGAAATCCAACAATGGAAAAACCCATTTACATTTTTCTCATTCATGACACAGAATGTCACCAAGCCTTTAGAAATAGGGCAAAAAAATATTTTAAGTGAAGTACATTGTTAAAGGTGACAGTACTTGATTTCAGATCACGCTTTAAGCTTGAAAAAAATTATTTACTCTGTTAGTTGGTCTTGCTCTTTCATGCCCTGTTTTGTTTCACTTTGGGGCCTGAATCAGCCTGTCTGGGGTTTGATATATTTGTCCTGTTTCCTTGTTTCCCTGCCAGTAGGATAAAACAGAGCCTTTTGGCCAGAGGAATGGCTGGTAAAGCTTTATGGGGCTCAAATATTGTAGCTTTTTGTGGAAAAGGAAATTTGTGCAGAAGGGTTGGCTCTAACCTTCCCACACCCTGAGCAGTGTGTGCAGCACTCAGGGGCTCAGAGTCTCCCAGCAGGCTGTGATGGGAGTAGATTTAATTTCTGGCATGAGCACTTTGCCTGTCTCTCACCACTGAGCTGCAGCGGGGTGGGAATTGTGATGCACCACCACCACTGAAGGAAATATTCCTTGGAGACAATGATTCCGAAGTAAAACGTGCCTGGTATGCACAGACAACATCTAAAAGTTGGTGTTTGTGCTTTAATTTACGTGGCAGAAGGTGAATATTGCTTTAAACACACCTGTCTTGCTGCTGTCCTGGTGCCCTCCCATCACCTCCCAACACAGCTGGAAATCTGAACAGAAAGGGATATTTAATTGCCAATAGTCTTTAGGAAGTCAGGGCTTTTCCCTCCTTATTTCCACCTCTGTTAAACCACGGAGTTAATCCCATCTGTCCAGGGCTTGAGTGAAGGCAGAGCCAGGAGTTCAGTGTTTTTAAAGGCAGCTGCTCAACCTGTTGCTCTGTTTTCGCAGGATGTTAAGGTTGGAAAAGACCTCCATGATCATGGAGTCCATTGGTGATGCATGTTTGTGTTTCCAACCATGGAGATCATCATCCTAATGAGGATGGCCATCTTTCCACTCCTACTTTTCCTTGTCCTTTGTATCCCTGGCAGTGGCATAAAGCCCTTCTTTGCTTTCCTGAGTCCCTCTCGGTGACTCTGAAGGCCCATCCTAAGTTATCCACGGTTTTGGACACCCCTCTGTCTTGGATTGTGTGCCTGCAGGAGAAGCTGTGCCAGAGGATGAGCAGATCAGTGCAAAGGACCAGAAGAACCTGGAGCCTTGTGATAACACCCCCATTATTGACAACATCACCCCCGTTGTCGCCAGCATCTCCACGGAGGAGAAGCAGAAATACGACGAGGAGATCGCCAGTCTCTACAGGCAGCTGGATGATAAGGTGGGATTTCACCCCATTTGCTGGGTGTAAATGGAAAACTCTGCCAAAATGGGTGGCTGGCTGTCATCCTTGGCCATCCTGAATTGGAAAAATGTTGGAAAATTCCAGACACTCTTCGTTGCATCAAATCAGATCTACCTCTGCTCCCTGTGTGGTTGTTTGGGGTCACTCTCCATGAAATCAGAGCCAAAGTTCCCTTTAATTTTAATGTCTCAGTACAGGCTTTTCATCACTCCTTTTCTTCAGTGGTTTCTGTAAAATCCCTCACCAAACTCTTCTCCCCCTCACAGGGGAGAGAAAACAAGGGGGACTGCATTTTAATATTTTTATAATGTATTAGAATTTTAAGGAAACCACAGATGCATCCCTTGGGTGTCTTTTGTTAGTGCTGTTCTAGCTGGGCCCCAAAGTGCAGGTGGCTTGTTTATTTATTTATTTATTTATTTGCACAGCTTGAAAGTCATCATGGGCACTTAAAGCTCTCAGCAATACACTTACCCAGGGCTGGCCATTAATAGCTTTGGCTTGTGTGAAAATGATAATTGGAGGTAAAAAAAAAAAAAGGCCCACTAAAGCCATTGACCATTGTGGATGAGAGCAGCATAAAAGGCTGTCTAGAGAAAGGGGAGCTTTCATCATGAATCAATATTCAATTCTAAATTTCAGTTGTAATTAGCAGGGAAATGTCAGAGAGGGAAAAAAAAAAAAGCTCCTCTGTGCCCTTGTCTGTTAATGTTGGAGTTTGGCTGCTTGTGAATAGCCAGGGAGGGAGCAGGTTGTGTTTAAACCTTAATTCTGATGTGCACGAGGTCTCTGGTTACACCCAGCAGTGTGTTGATGGCATTGAAAAGAGCAGTTAAGGTCTTTAAGAAATTACACTTATTTTTCTGATGGAGAATACGTGCCCAATCTCCAGCTTTTACATATTGATCAGGAAAAGGAAAAAAAAAAAAGGCAACCATTCTTTCACTTTCCTCCTCAAAAGTAGCAAAGCCCTTTGAATTATTCTTGAGGGAACTGGCAGCAGGTTTGAGTTTTGCCCTAGAAAACACAGGAAGAAAATTTGGTGCATTATTGCAGGACTACAGGAAATGAGATGGCATTTAATCCCCAAAACTACTCCAAAATATCACCATTTATTTGCATTTACTGTGTAGTTCTGTGTATGTATATTTTGCTCCCCTCTCACACCGCTCCAAGGTGCACAAGGTTTGCTGTATTATTTTTCCTTCTTTTCTAGAAAGGGGAAATAAAAAGTGACCAAATGAGAACAGTGAAAAGAAACTAAAAAAAATCTCCAACCCTTTTTTCGTTGCAGGACGATGAAATCAACCAGCAGAGCCAGTTGGCTGAAAAACTAAAGCAACAAATGTTGGATCAAGAGGAGGTAAGCAAGTTAAACCAAAAAAATAAACCAACCAAATGAAAAACTCTTACATTTTCCTCACGAGCCCCTCGTTTAGTGATTCTGTCACAGTTGTTCATATGAACTGGCTAAAATTCAATAGGCAAGAGAAACCTGTGTGTCAGCCAGGTTTAAACTTCAAATTTCATAATACTGGCAGAAGAACATTAAACCTTGATAACTCCTCATAATAACAATCCATCCTGCTGGGAGGTGCTGCTGGAGGTCCAAGGTAGGAGTGTGGCCAGTATTTTTCACTTCAAATGTGGTTTTTCAGCATGTCTGTGCCCTCTCAGGTATCCAGACACTATGGACTGCAAGGAGTTACAGATTTTCTGCTCTGACTGTATAAAAATTACTCCTGGTAATAAATTACTGATGTTCATTATTTTGGGTAATTAGAGACAGTAATGGGAGAAGTCTGTGAGATGGAAAAATTGATTATTGGTGCTGCTACGGGCTTGCTTTAAAATCTTGGATTGCTCACTTGAAACGTTTGATTTCATTGTCTGTCCATAAAACGAATGTTTGTTGGTTTTAAGACGGGGGAAATATGATCACTAAACCTACAGTCAGGTTATTCCCTGGTCTGTCATTTGTTTACAAGAGGATTTGAAGATGCAGAATGAGGCAATAACACTAAATCACCAAGTTGCCCAAACGTTGCTGTGATATTTCTTAGAAATTGCTTTTAGGCTGGCGGGAAATTGGATAAGGGCCATCCAGACCCGGAATATAATCCTGCTGTGGGAGTTCATCCATCACCAGTGTTCTGAAACACTGCTCTCTCTTTTCAGGCCACACTGCTAGGATTCTCTAGGAGTGTCTCTCCCAGCTGCCCAGCTGGAGCACAGCGCTGTTCTGGCTGCTTTTTTGGGGTGTGAAACCTCTCTTTTCATGGCAAAATCCTTCAGTCCTTACCCAAGCCCTCAGAAAGGGTTGCCAGGGCCCCCTTGTCATGTCTGAACATGGCTGTTACTCGTCACTCATGACTTACCTGCCACCTTTGGGGCTTGTCCTCTCTGCAGGAATCACCAGCCTTATCTAATTCCATGATTAAGCTCCTCATGCCCTTGCCACAGCTTTATTTGGCTGCCCATGCCTGTGGCTACACAGACACAACAGCCTTTTATGCCTTCTCAGCACCATTATTTTCTGATGTGTGTTGTGGTTCTATTTGTGTCATCTCACCTCTCCCATCTCTTTCACATCACTCTTCTCACCCAAAGCTGACTCTAAAGCTTTTATTTATTTATTTATTTATTTTCTGATGTCTCATTTTTGGGGGGGGATGTGTATTCCTTTGTGTTAGCTGGTTGGGAGCAACTAACACAATTATTCCCCATTCTCCACGTTCCATACTCGATATCACACCTAGAATATGAACCAGGTTTTCAGTGACCCCTAATCCTTGCCCTCCAGACCACTTTCCCCCCTTTTTTTTGCACTTTCCTAGCTTTGCTGACTTGGGAAATCTCTGCAGCTGATGTCTGACTGCTTGTTCAGAAGCTTTATCTGGTTCATCTCAGGAGCTTGTCTGTCTCTTACCTTTGAAAGCTCATGTGATATTTCATTTTTCAAGGTGTTTTTCCACCTGCTCTGTGGGAGGGATGTACCTGCTCTGTCCTGGAGCTGTGACTGGCTCAGTGATACATGAGCTGAGAGCAGCTGCCTCACTCTGCTTCCCCCTAATTAACCAGAGGCCTTTTTTCTGCTTGATTAAGCCAGCAGGTTAATTATAAATCTGAGGCCTGCTGCAGATGGCATTGGGCTGATATTGGTGTCTTTTGGTGCCTTTTCACCCCTGGCTGCTTCTTAGGGTGCATTTTTGGGGGGATTCTTAATACTCCACCCTGCACCTCCCATGCTGTGAAGAGATCCACGAAGTGCTGCAGCCATTGTCCCTTCCCTTTGTTTCCTGTTGATCCTTATAACGTGTCATTAGTGGCCTTTGAAAATCTCTTTTTTCCCCACATAATATCAGCAAGAACCTTCTGGGGAGCCGTGTTTATGCTCTAGGTGATGCACAGCACTCCTCGAAGTCACAGCGATATCCACGCAGAAAATTTCTTAAGTAAACGTAAATAATAGTTCCATCTGTGTTTGGCAGAAAGATTATTTTAAGCTATTTTGTTGTTTAAATATTTACATGCCATCTGGCTTTGGCAACTCGGCGGGGTTTTTCCATAACGTGAGTGCACTTCTGAGGCTGCAGCATTACCAGAGAGATAAATTTCCCTTACATCTGAATCCTCCCTGCACCACTTTTGGGCACGTGCCAGCCTCTGGAGCTGCCTGCCTGGTTCCCCATTTTCCATTAGAACTCTGAGCCAAAAAAAAAAGGAAAAAAAAAGCCCTGTCTTACCTGACATTCTGCTTTTTGTGGTCTGTTTTAGAGGGGGGGGTGACAGGTCAGGAGAAGTCAACCCAACTCAGTACAGCAGGGCAGGTTTTATTGCACTGTCCAAGAAAGCTTCAGTACAGCTCTATTAAACTAATATATGTATATATGTTAAACTAATCCATACATAGGAATGCTTGGAAAGAAGTGAATTCTGTGAATGAATGTCCAAACTTTACTGTTAGGATAAGCAGGAAAGCCTTCTTGTATTTCCTGCACTAGTTTTATACCTTATTATTCTCTATTGTATGCAAAGTTAAGTCCTGATTTTGTTATTATTCTCAGAAGTACAATATTAGTATTTAATGTTAGGTGGCACCTGTTGTTTATTTTCACATATTCTGCTGGTGGGTCTGGGTTTGTGCTGAGAACCCAGGAGCTGAATTTTCAGGACTTTAACATCTCACTGAACACTGGTTCAAGGGCAAGGGAGAGGACCATGCAAGTGACCTCAGCCCTGTCACTGAAACTCCAGCATCTCCCTTAGCAGTGTGCAAAGAGTAGATTTAATAAGTTTTACCAGTTGGAAATACTCACTAGTCTGTGTGAGGTCAGTATTTGCTTCTTCAGTTAATCTTCTCCCTCAGCAAATATATGAGCAGCTAATCTGTCTTCAGCATCGTGCCTCAGATGATAACTGAGAATAATCATCTTAGGTTTGCTTATCAAAATATTTCTTTAATGCCCCAAGGTCTCTGAGGCTGCCTCAGAGAGCCCTTTCCCTTGGCTCAGTTCAAAGCTCTGAGTCTGTGTTGAAACATTTCACTTTGTGGTGTTTTTTGGTCCTCGCCGCAGCACCGTATTGAGGGCAGAGGATTTCTTTGGAGCTCTGATACTGCTTAAAATAAGTTTCTCTGCCTCAGTCTTGTGTCATAACAGGATTTGATAAAGATTTCGTTGAAGTTCAGAGGTTTTTTTGTGCTTCCTTCAAATACATTTATGCTGAAACTGGTGCTGCTTCTGGCAGAGCAGCAGGATTTCTTTGCTCCTGCTTTCTCTCTTGCACACACGTTTTCTCTCCCTCTGTCTCTTCTTGCTCTTTCCAGTGTTGCCTTTTGAGTGAGCTCTTGGGTGACTTAATGCTTCTGTGATACTTTTTTCCAGCTTTTGGCCTCCACTAGGAGGGATTATGAGAAGATCCAAGAGGAGCTGACCCGTCTGCAGATCGAGAACGAAGCGGCGAAGGACGAAGTGAAGGAGGTCCTCCAAGCCCTGGAAGAATTAGCTGTCAATTATGACCAGAAATCCCAGGAAGTGGAGGACAAAACAAGGACCAACGAGCAGCTGGCTGATGAGCTGGCACAGAAGAGTGTAAGAGCAAATTGTTTGAAGTGTTGGTTCCCTCCTCACCCCCCCAAAGATTTCCACGGGGGTCCCCAAAACCTGTGTCGTGGTCCCCCAGCAGCAGTCAAGATCCACATTTGCTGATGCTGCTTGTCTCTCTTCTATCTTAATTAAACAATAAAATAAGGGTAATGCAGGCACTTCTCTGTGGAAGCTGGTGGCAGATTGTGGCTCTTGCAGCCCCTGTGCTTTGCACACTCTAACAGTGACTGAAATGAATGTGAGCCCTGGCCATTCTGTGTTTTGGGTGTTTAAAAAGTCTTATCGTGCCAAGAAGGCTGTGAAAATCTGCTTTATGCAAATGGCAGCATTCTGGGTTTTTCTGGACTCTGTACTGAGAGGCAGGGCATCTCAAGGAAGGGATCAGAAAAAATAAATCAGCTTTTTTGGCTGATCTTAAGGAAAAAATCGGAGGGAAATCAAGATTGGTTTATTAGCTTAATGCATCCTTTTCCCTTAATTCATTACACAAAGTGATGAAGCTCTTGTTAACAGATATATTTCATTAAAGACTTTGTTATCTACTTCAGTAGAACAGATTAGTATGAAATCCATTCGAAAAAATTGAATTTTATATCCTTCTATACCTATTTCTCGGTGATTAACCTTCTCTGATGTATTATGCAAATAAGATTCTTACTGGATTTGCTACATTTAATACATGTAAAGTAGCCTTGGTAGCAAGTGAGTTGTGAAAGGGGATTATGTCAAGGTGGAAGGGGACGTGTCAGCACGTTGTGCCACGGGCACGTTCAGGAAAATACAAGACAACACCATGTAACCCAAATGCCATGTGAGAATTGGTGGGAGAGGAGGGTAACTCTTCTTTTTAAACCTTCTCAGAGTGCCCTGACAGCGACCCAGAGGGAGCTGGGCCAGCTGCAGGAGCTCAGTAACCACCAGAAGAAGAGGGCGACAGAAATCCTGAACCTGCTGCTGAAGGACCTGGGGGAGATCGGGGGAATCATCGGAACCAACGACGTGAAAACAGTGAGTTGGTTTTGCTGCTTGTCCCCCACACCTCCTGCAGTGTGAAAATGCTCCATCTGATCGTGGAATCACAGGATGGTTTGGGTTGGAAGGGACCTTAATGATCATTTCGTTCCATGGGTGGAGGCATCTTCCACTAGCCCAGGTTGCTCCAACCTGGCCTCGGACACTTCCAGGGATCCAGGGGCAGCCACAGCTTCTCTGGGCAACCTGGGCCAGGGCCTCCCCACCCTCCCAACCAGGAATTCCTTCCCAATATCCCATCTAACCCTGCCCTCTGGCAGTGGGAAGCCATTCCTTTGTCCTGTCCCTCCATGCCTTGTCCCAAGTCCCTCTCCAGCTCTCCTGGAGCCCCTTTAGGCCCTGGAAGGGGCTCTCAGGTCTCTCTGGAGCCTTCTCTTCTCCAGACTGGACACCCCCAGCTCTCCCAGCCTTAGCAGAAGGTTTCCAGCCCTTGGAGCATCAGTTGATGTGGAATATGTGGATCCAGCAGTCCTTCTCCCAGGACACTGCCATGGAAGTCCTGGCTGGAGCTCTTTGTCTGGCTCAGTGTCTGGACACACAGTTCCCACAGTTATTCCCAGCTCAGTGTTTAGACCCAGACTAGTGCAGCCCATCTGTGGGTTGATGCACTGATTAATGGGGCTCTGAGTTCCCTCCAAAACTATTCCCATGCAGCCCCACTCCTTTCTTAGCTGGCACGGCTCAGAATTCCCAGAACCTGAAACAGTTTTATTGGTGGGATTTGGCATCTGGGGTGGCTACTTTTTGTTTAAAGGTTGGTGCAAATTTTGGGTAGCTCTGCTTTGAGATTGGCCTGTCACACTCCTGTGGGAGATAAATAAAATTCCAAGTTTCAGAGGAGATATTTCTATGGTCCGTGCTAAATGGCAGTGATGAAATTTTTCCCTGGCCTGGAAAATCTCCCAGGTGATTAATAACCATCTTGCCTGTCCATTTAAAACCACGTGAAAAACACCAATGATTAAAACTTCATAAGAAATCCATTTTAAAGACGTATGTGGATTCCTTGCAATACACTCATTTTTCTTGCTTTTAGTTGACTTCTTGCTGACGTCCTGCTCAAGCCCCCTTTATTTAGCAGGATGCTCCAGCCTGCTCCTGCTGCAGAGGACACAATCCCTGCTGTCCCTGTGGTGCTGCAGATGCCAGGAGCAGCAGACCAGCCTTTGGCAGATGTCACAGCAGCCTCTGGTGGCCGTTGTGACAGGGACAGTGAGAGAAAAACCTTCGAAAATGGAGGCAGAGGCAGCGAGATACAGATTTTTATATAACTAAGATGTCAGCGTTTTTGAGGACAGCTGTCAGCGTAAACAAGGCCAGATTGAGAAGTGTTTGGAAGAATAATTTCGAATTAGTTGGCAATTAGCATCTTCTCCAAGTGTGTCTAATTTCAGGCCAGACTGAGAGTTTTGGAAGCAGTGTCATTTTTTTAGGCTTTTGGGGATGCAGCACATGTTCCCTTCCCCTTGGCAGTGCTGGGGAAAGGTGAGAAGCAGATGAAGTTCATCCCTGTGCTTGCTCAGGGAGAACCTGCACAGCCAATCTGTGGTTACAGGAATTCAGTAGCTGAAGAAAAATCACAAAGAGAAAGACAACGTGTTAAGCCAGTGAAAGAAATTATGTATAAGTAGAATTATACTAATATTTAGAGATGAGAGCCATTAGTTTTCTCTTGCCAGGTGATTTCCAGACCCCTGTGTGTCTTACAGCTCCTCATGGAAGAAGCACAACCCTTCCAGAGGGGAATTCTTATAGGAGTGCTTTGAAAATGCTCTTCAGCTTTTTGGAATGGTGAAAGAAAGAAAATTTCCCCTGCTGGTGACATGAGAATGTTTCTCCAAAATACACTCTTGCCATGATGGTGGGCTTGATTCTTTTAGGTGTTGAACCACTGGGTTCATAGAATCATGGAATATCCAGAGTTGGGACCCACAAGGACCATCCAGTCCAACTCCTGGCCCTGCACAGACACTCCAACAATCCCACCCTGTCCCTCAGAGCGTTGTCCAAACCCTCCTGGAGCTCTGGCAGCCTTGGGGCCGTGCCCACTGCCCTGGGGAGCCTGGGCAGTGCCAACCACCCTGTGGGGGAAGAACCTTGTCCTGAGATCCAACCTAATACCTGTCAAACTACATGATACACATACACACATATATAAAAAACATACTAGATAAACACACAAATCAAATCAAGAACTTCAAAAGTCCTCACAAAAGGTGTCTACTTAATATAATAAGTGGTCTCTGCTTTGCAGAAACACTCCAGTTTTGATTTTTTGTCCTCATTTGGGGCGTGAATATGAGTTGTTGTACATTCTCAGAAATTCCCACATAATAATTAACATCCCTCTCCAGAGCCTCTTTCTGAAATGATATGTGGGCTGTCAAACTGTCCCAAACCCCAGACCGAGTCTCTACCCGGTTCCCGGAGCAGCACAGCCCAACTTTCTGTGTGCTCAGTTGGCAGATGTGAACGGGGTGATCGAGGAGGAGTTCACCATGGCCCGGCTCTACATCAGCAAGATGAAATCCGAGGTGAAGTCCCTGGTGAACCGCAGCAAACAGCTGGAGAGCGCCCAGATCGACTCCAACAGGAAGATGAACGCCAGCGAGAGGGAGCTCGCCGCCTGCCAGCTCCTCATCTCACAGGTGGGGCTGTTCCTCCCCGCTCCCAGGCCTCCTTCCTGCCTTCTCCCGAGCTTTGAGGGCTTCCTCAGCCTCTTTCCTCGTGGAATGTGTGTGCTCGGAGCGAGAAATGAGGCTTCAGGGGGCAGAAGTGTCTGTTTTGTTGGGTTTTCTCTCCCTTCTCCCGTTCCTCGCCCTCAGTGTTTTTCAACACATTCTGTGGCGAGATCGTGTCCTGCTGTCCTGAAGTGTGTTTTATGGAACAAGGCTGAAAAGGCCGTATTCCTCACCGTGAATTTGTATGGGATTTCCATGTCTATTTATATGGGATTTCCTTACCCTGAATTTGTATGGGATTTCTACACCTGTTTATGTGGGATTTCCTCACCATGAATTTATATGGGATTTCCATATCCATTTTCATGGGATTTCCATATCCATTTTCATGGGATTTCCATATCCATTTTTATGGGATTTCCTCACCCTGAATTCGTATGGGATTACCATATCCGTTTTTATGGGATTTCCTCACCCTGAATTTATATGGGATTTCTGCACCCATTTATGTGGAATTTCCTCACCCCAAATTTGTATGGGATTTCCATATCCATTTTTATGGAATTTCCTCACCCTGAATTTGTAGGGGATTTCTACACCCAGTTATATGGGATTTCCTCACCCTGAATTTGTAGGGGATTTCTGCACCCGTTTGTATGGGACTTCCTCACCCCGAATTTGTATGGGATTTCTACACCTGTTTATATGGGATTTCCTCACCCTAAATTTGTAAGGGATTTCTACACCCAGTTATATGGGATTTCCTCACCCTGAATTTGTATGGGATTTCTGCACTCATTTATATGGGATTTCCTTACCCTGAATTTGTGTCTTGTATCATCTTAAAAGCAGCCTGAGAGAAGAAGCAGTGACCATATTGTTCACTAGCCAAACCTTTGGAGAGCTCCTCATACCTGCTTTGTTAATATGCTGCCAAGATAACAAGGCAGCAGTATATGAAATAAAATGTTATGGAAAACTGTATAGGATGGTGTAGGGGGTTGGCCCTGGCCAGACACCCACCAAAGCTGTTCTATCACTGCCCTCCAAAACTGGACAGGGGAGAGAAACTCTAATGAAGGTTCATGAGATAAGGACCCAGATCCCTCACCAAATACTTCACAGGCAAAACAGACTCATCCTGGGGATAATAATTGAATTTATTGCCAACAAAATCAGAGCAGGATAATGAGAAGTAAAACAAATGTTATAAACACCTTCCCCCACCACACCATCCTTCCCAAGCTCTACCACCTCCAGTGATGCTGGAAGATGGGAATGGGGGGCACAGTGAGTTCATCACAGGTTGTTCCTGGTGCTGCTCCAGTCAGAGTCGTTCCCCTGCTCCAGGGTGGGATGTTTCCCATGGGAGACAGTTCTCCATGAGCTCCAATGTGAGTCCATCCCACTGGAGACAGTTCTCCATGAGCTCCAATGTGAGTCCATCCCACTGGAGACAGTTCTCATGAGCTCCAACGTGAGTCCATCCCACTGGAGACAGTTCTCATGAGCTCCAACGTGAGTCCATCCCACTGGAGACAGTTCTCATGAGCTCCAACGTGAGTCCATCCCATGAGAGACAGTTCTCACGAGCTCCAATGTGAGTCCATCCCACTGGAGACAGTTCTCACGAGCTCCAACGTGAGTCCATCCCATGGGAGACAGTTCTCACGAGCTCCAACGTGAGTCCATCCCATGGGAGACAGTTCTCCATGAGCTCCAATGTGAGTCCATCCCATGGGAGACAGTTCTCCATGAACTGCTGCAACGTGGGTTGTTTTCCACGGGGTCCATCCTTCAGGCACAGCTCCAGCATGGGTCCCACACCAAGGGGACTCAAGTCCTTCCTCCTTGATGTGGGACGGCACCTGAATTCCAAGGAAACAGGCCGTGCTGCTCACATCTCACTGCTGTTCTCCTTGTCTCCACAGCACGAAGCGAAGATCAAGTCCCTCACAGACTACATGCAGAACATGGAGCAGAAGAGGAGGCAGCTGGAGGAGTCCCAGGACTCTCTCAACGAGGAGCTGGCCAAGCTACGTGCTCAAGGTACCACTCTGGGCCTTGTGGCCACGATTCCTTTTAGCAACTGTGTCCTAGAAAATTCCGTGTTGGGTTTTAACGATGGGAGAAATTAAAAAAAAGAAAAAAAACACACGAATTCTTCAGCCAAACAGCACCAGGCAATCTTGCTAAATGTTCTGTAAAATTGTTAGAGGTCTGTCTGATTTCAGTTGTCCCTCTGGCAAACTCCATTCCAAAGGGAGCTGCTTCCCTTAGGTGTGCAAAAGGTGTGTCCTTCCCAGCTCCTGTGCAGGATCCAGATGATTTCCTTTTAAGGATTGCTTGCTTTTCCCCTTCATTTAATGTGGAAAACGTGTATCTATCAAGAGCAATTCTTGTAGCTTTGCTGAGCTACTGTTTTATGTAAAATTCCATCACTCTGGATTTCTGCACAAGGGATTTTCTCTGACTGAGGGAGCAGCAGGTGGTGACAAGACTTTTTTTTTCTTTTAACTCCTCCTGCATTGTTAGAACAGAATTTTTATTCTGTTTCCTGCTCTTCCTACCCCGCTGATAAGAAATGACCTGGTTCTAGAGGCACCATTCCCCCAGTGAAAGCAGAATTGGGATAAGTGGGATTATAAAACAGACAGGCATAGGTTGGGAAATGGCTGGATGTAGCATGTCTTGGAATTGTGTGGTTAGTTCTCAACTGTCTCCACCTTCAAACAGAAAAAATGCACGAAGTCAGCTTCAAGGACAAGGAGAAGGAGCATCTGACCCGGCTTCAGGATGCAGAGGAGATGAAGGTAGTTTAACACTGCAATTTTAGAGGGCATTTCTCAGTGAGATCCTTCACCCAGCTGATAATTGGGGTGTAATTTTGCCTTCCTCTATTAAAAATTGTATTGATTCACCTCTAAGTTACGCTCATTTTTTGCTGGGGGGACTCTGCTGAAAGTCAGTTTGCTCAGGAGTGAGTCAGGATGCTGAGGTTGATGTAATTTAGGTACTAAGAGATTTGATTTACAAAGAGGCCACTTTCCCGAAGTTTGGCAAGAATTCTGACTATCCCCTGGAAGTAATAATAAAATATAAACCTGTTTCCTGGTATTTTTCCTCTGGAATGTAAAGAAGTGTTGGCAATGTGTTGGTTCAATGGGGTTGCAAGTTGCAGACAAGGAAAAAAAATAGACTTTTTAGAGGTTTGTCTTCTGCAGAACTTTTCCCTCTGTTATAAAAATTTAAAGGGATTAAAGCAGTTGTACAGTTCTTCCTTACAGCTGGAAGAGAAAAAACAAATCTTTTATTAGCAATTTAAAGAGGTGCATTGGGTTTTTCTTACTGATCTTAGAATTTAAATTTAAATAACAATTTAAATAGCAGGTCTGTGGATACACAATTTTCAGAGGTGGGAGGAGGGTGGTTTGGGTTTCACTTCTGTCACAGGCAGAGCTGTTTTTTTCTTGGTGAATAGGCAGGTGAAATAGAGCTGTACACATATTTCCTTGGTGGAAAAAAAGAGGTGAAATAACAGAGGACTGGTGTAAAATCAGTGTCATTTGTGGCACTTGATATTCCAGGCCCCTGACTTTCACTGGTGGCAGTTTTTGCAAGGAAATGAGCAGAAATTGGTGTACATCTGTTGCTAAAAACTGAATTAAATGCTCGGATGAGCAGACACACAGTTTTTAATCACAGAAAGATATGCCAGGCAGATTCCTGAGTTAACTTGATCTGATAATTTCCCCTCAAATCCAGAGGAACAGGTTGATTTAGGGGGCAGGTGAGAAGGAAGCTCAGCTGTGTGTGCCTGGATTTGTTTCATACCCGGCTCTGGTGTTTGCAGAAGGCCCTGGAGCAGCAGATGGAGAGTCACAGGGAAGCCCACCAGAAGCAGCTGTCCAGGCTGAGGGATGAAATCGAGGAGAAGCAGAAAATAATTGATGAAATCAGAGAGTATGTTCACTCCTTCCATCACCTTCTCCGTCCTGTGACACTGTAGGGATGTTTTGGGGTTGCTTTTGTTAGTTTTAATGGATGTTTATACGTAATATTCTGTCCCTTACATGTTTATTCTGTCCTTGCATGCAACAGCCAACCCTGTAGTTATTTTATGGGGTGGATTACAGTCCCTACTTCTTTAGTGGGGAGCTTTAAGTCCATAAAATTACAGAGAGGAAAAAGGAAGAGTCATGTTAGGCCTGCAGGTCAGTAGGTAAGAGGAGCTTGGAGGAGAACAGATTTCAAGAGATCACAGAATCATTTAGGTTGGAAAATACCTTTAAGGTCATCAAGTCCAACCACTACCAAAGCCACCACTGACCACGTCCCCAGAAAGGTTTTTTGGGGGCCTCTTACAGCAAGTGCTCCTGTCACAGACTTTCTGAGGGACTCAAATTCTCCCATTTTCACACCCTTAATATTTCCTCCTGACCCACCAACGTATCTGTTAGTCAGATACTCCAGCCCTTGGACAGTGGAGTGTTTTGCTCCTTGTATTCTTCTTTTCCTAAAATCTAGGCAACCCTGGTGTAGTATTTATTATTTTATCGTATTTATTGTGTGGCCAAGGACTAATCATAGGGAAAGGAGGAACATGAGGAAGCAGGACAGAAAGAACAGGTTGTGTCCTTTAAGGTAAAGGAAACAAACCACTGATTTTAGTTCTCCGGTATTTTAAAATATCGTTCTTAGGATTCTTTATGCTTATTTCTTTCAGAATTTTTCAGTAGAGAGTTACAGCTTTTCTTTCTCTGTCCAACCCCACTTTGTTCATGGGGATTTACCCGTTTTCTGGGGTTCAGGCCTGAGCTGTACTGACTTTTCCTTTCTCGTTCCAGCATGAATCAGAAGCTGCAGCTGGAACAAGAGAAACTGAGTGCTGATTATGATAAATTAAAAATTGAGGACCAGGAAAGAGAAATGAAACTGGAAAAGCTCATGTAAGTCAAGAGTTTTCTCATCTGGTGTCCTTCAATCTCTCAGTATGATCACAGGAAATGTGCCAGTGAGAGGCATTTGTGTTGCGATATTCACATTGAAAATACCAACTTGCAGCATTAATAAATGATTACCAATTGCTCCGTTATTTTTATATCAAAGGCTTTTTAGTAGTGGGTTTGATACTTACCCCAAAAGATTTTATTAGAGCTCTGATTTTATAAAATATCACAGCAAGTGTTAAATCTCTCATTCCTTAACGAACAGCAAAAACAAGAAAAAGGCTGAGGAGTTCAGGTGGGGTTTTATTGATTTTTTTTTTTTCTTTGTTTTGGTTTGATTTTTTTTAAGTAATAAATCAACTGTCTGAGTAAAAAACCCTTTCCTGGAAATGAGAGATAAAAATTTCATGTGAGGACATAAAAGATGCAGGTGGTGACTCAGCCCTTCCACGGGATAAAGCTGCATATTTGGGGCAGTCAAAAGCATAATTACAGATGCAGAGATGTGCAATTTGCTCACATTCTGCAGATGTGCTACTCCAGCTGAATGCTGTTTGATTCTCTTCTGTTTAATATGACTTCAGCATCTCTGATTTGTGTTCCATGTTGTGATCTTTCTAGACTGCTTAATGATAAAAGAGAACAAGCAAGAGAAGACCTTAAGGGGCTGGAGGAAACAGTGGTAGGTCTTAATTACACTTTATTGAGCTTTGTCCCCAACATCTGTATATATACCCAGATGATATATATATATATATATATTGATTTTTGTATAAACAGCTTTTAACTACTCAAAATAAAATTAAAAAAGGGTTGCTCTTCTTCTCTTCAGTCTGGCTATGGAGCTGGATGGGGTTGGGATGAGCTGGCCTTTCCTGCACGTGGGTTAGTGTTTCCCTCCAGTCTGGGGTAAGGTGGTTATTTTGCTGAGCCTGAGGAAAAAAAAAAAACCAAAACCACCAAACTGGGAAAACCTAGATTTTGGCCAAAATTTTAAAAGCACTTAAAACTTCTGAAGTGCCTGTGAGTAATGTATTTGCTAAAGAGAGAATCCAGAGCTCTCTCCCCTCCTATCAACTAAAATCCAAGGAGAACTTTTACACCACAGTATCTACTGTATCTTACTGAGGGATTTTTTAATTTTTTTTTTTTTAATGGTTATTTTATTGTTTTTATTCCAGGCAAGAGAACTTCAGACTCTTCACAATCTGCGCAAACTGTTTGTCCAAGATCTTACCACCCGCGTTAAAAAAGTGAGACTCTGCTCCTTTTGAACCCAAATCTTGCCTTTTCCTTGCAGTATTCTTGTGATCTGCTGGAAGCCCTTAGTGCATGTTGTCACCAAATGGGATATTGTCTTTTTTTAACAACAGGGAGAAACAAGATTAAAACTACTCTGCTGTTTGTGAGCTTTTATTTGGTCATCATTCGTTAAGGACTAGTCTTAGTTAAGCAAATGAACCAGTCCAATTGAGTTCAAATAAAAATATTCTCAAAGATGGTATTAATGGGCACCAGAAATCATTCAATATAACTTGATTTTCCTATTCAGGATCCCCCCATAACTGCTCACTAAGAACAGTTTATTTTTTACGTAGCGGGGAACGCGGTTGTTAAACATCAAATGAACAGGCTAAATAATTTTAATTTGGGGCTCTGGAAGACTTTCCTGCCTTTGAGAAGCTTAAATTTCCCAAAGAGCTGAGCTTGCTCTGGAGTTTCTGCCTGGCTTTGCTGAATGCTGAACTCTCTGTGCAGAGTGTTGAACTTGACAGCGACGATGGAGGTGGGAGCGCCGCGCAGAAGCAGAAAATTTCCTTTCTTGAGAACAACCTGGAACAGCTTACAAAGGTTCACAAACAGGTAGGGGCTCCCCTTCCCTTCTCCCCTGCTTCCCTTCTTCCCTCCCTCAAACAAAAAATACACTTTTTTTTAATGTTTCCAAGGATAATTTTGGCGGGTGAGCTGCGCTGCCTGAGGGAAAGGTACCCACAGGTTTTAACTCCCAACTCCTTGGTGTCAAGAGCTGGTGTGAAGCTGCTCTTCCCACCACCTGTATTTCTATGAATGTGTGAAATAAGCATTATTTCCTCCATGAAAATAGACTTTAGCTCGTTTTTGGCACTAAGAAATACGTAAAAAAAAAATAGCTGTGTTTTTTTTTTGTGTATCCCAAATTTTGACTCCTGGGCTAAAGCTGCTCAGGGGCACCTCGGAGGTGACTCGAGGGGGTTCAAGGAGCACAGTGTGAAAGCAAAGAAAGGGAGGTTTTCTGGGCAGCTGAAGGGCTGGTGCCTCATTTGTGGGCATTCCACCCCTCCTTCATGGAATTCCTGTTTCACAGAATCCCAGCCTGGTTTGGTTTGGAAGGCAGTGCACTTTTCTGAAACTGTATTAGTGAGACATACTCTGAAATTCGCTTTATTTATTCCTTTGGAAGTGCCAAGAGGCCAAGTGGTGCTGGGACCACGACAAGTGTCCACTAAGATTCAGTAGTTTGAGATTCCCAGGGAACAGATGGTTTAAAGGCCTACTTTCTAAATGTGGAAATTGGGACATGTTGGAGGAGTGTCTTTTTCTTTTGCCATTTTGCCTTTTTTTGCACTCGAATCACGCATCTGCTGCCTTTCAAATCCGCATTTTTATAGCTCTCATTAGTCTGTATTTACTCAAAACCAACTTGGAATCCACAGCTCTTAAGAAACTTAGAGGGAAAAATGACATTGGACTTGACCTGACTGTGCTGCCATCCTGCTCTGATTCCATATCATCACTATTTCCTAGGACAAGGGTTCAACACTTGCAGAAAAAGCACATTGTGACAAGTTTTTTTAGCTTGTTTGTGTTTTATTTCAGCCCTGAGCCTGGCCCAGCAGGTGTAAAACATTTTGATTGTCAAACAACGTGTGAATGTCAGTCCGTGCTGGTGCTTTACTGTGTTATTAATGTGGTGGTTAAACCACTTTTCACTCTAGAAAAGGGAGGATCACTCCTTTGGAGCAGATTTCTGCTGACTTCTAGCACTGGTTTAATCAGTTCAGTAGAAATTGTGCTGGATTTTTCTGACTGTTTTTATTTATTAAAAGTCAATCCCCTCTCTCTTGGCTGTTGGTGCATGGAAAGTCAGATGTTATTTAGATAATTGATAGACCTCGCTCAGGTTTATATTAAACTGAGGAAGTGCATGAAGTCAAAATTGCATATAATCACCATATTTATAGCTACAGAACCTAAAAGTGATTTCTTAGTGAAGTTTCCAATTTCTTAGTGAAGTTTCCAATTTTCCCACATGCCTGGGGAGGGAACACACAGGTGAATGTGTCAGAACCATTTGAGATGATGAATTTTGGACGGTCCCCAGTGTTGTCTGTAAGGCATATTGAAGCATTACTATTTTGAAATCACGAGGTGATCAATTATTTGCAAAATATTTCTGTGTTCTGAGCAAATGTAGAGCTTCTGCTGCAGCTGCTGTAAAGTCTAGAGAAGCAGATATGGCAGAAGAGTGTCCTGAAGTGACAGGTTTTGTCCTCAAGCCCTCACCCTTCAGGATCAGCTCTGTGAAATTTTGTTGGATGGAATAAACAGTGGCATAAACTCTGTTGTTCTTTGACTTTTCTGGAAGATTTAAATGAATCTCACACCTCAGGCAGACAATTGTGACTAAAACTATGAAGTTTGGACAACTCTCTCAGGGTCATGGTGGGATTGTTGGAGTGTCCTGTGCAGGAGATGGAATTGATGATCCTTGTGTGTCCATTCCAGCTCAGGATATTCCAATGATTCTAAACTTCTCTTTGAAAAAAGAATATTTAAGTGAATATCACACCTCAGCCAGACAAATGAACTGTGTGATTAAAACTGCAAAGTATGGACAACTCTCTCAGGGAGACACAGTGGGATTGTTGGGGCTGTCCTGTGCAGGAGATGGAATTGAGTGTGTCCATTCCAGCTCAGGATATTCCAATGATTCTAAATTTCTCTTTGAAAAAAGAATATTTAAGTGAATATCACACCTCAGCCATACAAATGAAAAAGTATGGACAGCTCTCTCAGAGAGACACAGTAGGATTGTTGGGGTTGTCCTGTGCAGGAGATGGAATTGATGATCCTTGTGTGTCCATTCCACCTCAGGATATTCCAAGATTCTAAATGTCTCTTTGAAAAGAGAATATTTAAATGAATCTCACACCTCAGCCAGACTAATAAAATGTGTGATTAAAACTACAAGGGATGGACAACTCTCTCAGGGAGACACAGTGGGATTGTTGGGGTGTCCTGTGCAGGAGATGGAATTGATGATCCTTGTGTGCCCATTCCAGCTCAGGATATTCCTCAGTCCTACATTTCTCTTTGACATAAGCTTTTCCCAGTCATTTCTGGGAGAAACCTGCTTTATCCACAGCCCGCGAGGCGCGAAGAGGAACCGGCGGCGTTTTCGGCCTCTCCTTGTCGGAGAACCCTTCCCGCGGTCTCTAACGGGCCCTTTTGGACATTCCTTTCCTGCAGCTGGTTCGTGATAATGCAGATCTTCGTTGCGAGCTTCCTAAGCTGGAAAAACGCCTTCGAGCTACGGCAGAGAGAGTTAAGGCCCTGGAGAGTGCACTGAAGGAGGCCAAGGAGAACGCCATGAGGGACCGCAAGCGCTACCAGCAGGAGGTGGATCGCATTAAGGAGGCCGTGAGAGCCAAAAACATGGCCAGGAGAGCACACTCTGCTCAGATTGGTAAGGCCATGGAGCTAAAGGGTTGCCCACATTCCTCGTGGTCGGCGTGCTGGCTCGGGTTTAAGCCGAGCTCTGAGAGCAGCGGCGGAACCGCGGGGGCCGCTTCTTCTCCTGGGATCTTCAAAGGCTTCACTTTTTAATAGAATCTGCCCCACCTCAAGTTTAAAGAGCCTCTGCTATTTAACTCGGTAAATAAGTGGCATAATGGGGCTTGTGTGCCCTTCTAGTGACCTGAAAACTTGTCTCCTTAAATTAGTCTCTTACTTTCTTCCTCCTCCCCCCACGCTCTCCCTTTCTGCTTTCATTATTTCCTTGCCTTTCTGGACCTTGTCCCTTTCTCTTTCTTTCCCTTGATTACTCCTTTTTGTGATTTAATTTGTGGCTGTGCAGAGTCAAAAATTCTTCCTGTGTAATTCAGATGCTTGATGTGTCTCTGTGCCACAATGTGTGCCTTCCTGGACCTTGTCCCTTTCTCTTTTTTTTTCCCTTGATTACTCCTCCTTGTGATTTAATTTGGGGCTGTGCAGAGTCAAAAATTCTTCCTGTGTAATTCAGATGCTTGAGTTATCTGTGGCACAGTGAGTGCACACAACCACGGGGCGGTCAAGATGGGGCAATTTTAGAAATGATTTGTTGGGATTGATGAAACACCAGGGTGATGGTCTGGGTGGTGATGCAAATACTGGTGGTTTAAAACCAAAGAGAGAATCAGGCAGCACACAGTATTACCTGTGTGGGAAACCATCGACAGCTTTGTCTTGGCGTCTTCTGGAGTGATATAAATCCTCAAATTGGACATGGGAAGTGCATCACTGCCCACCAAGTGGCCATGACTCCTCTGTGTTGCCCAGGCAGCCCATAACCTTTGGAGATCCCAAGCATGGGAAGGCTAAAGGGCTCTGTCCCAAGCAGAAGATGGATGTGTTGGCTGAGGGAGGGAATGCCGTGTTCCGCAGAGCTGGATCACAGACCCCTCTGCCAAGCACAGCGCCGTGTTTGGGAACAGAGGGGTTTGTACCAGAGGAGAAGGTGAGGTGGAAAACCTCCTGTGAAAGCTGAATGTGTTGTTTGGTTCCCTCTTTTTCCCTGTGCAGCCAAGCCCATCCGCCCTGGCCATTATCCAGCGTCTTCTCCGACGGCTGTCCACGCCATCCGAGGGGGAGGGATGTCCAACTCCAGCTACTACCACAACACCAAATAGGCGAGAAGTAAGACCAAAATACCTTCCTCATCTGTTCTTCACTGATCACCCACTCCCCTACAGTTGAGTCTTGCTTTCAGCAGACACACAGTGTATTTTTTCCGTTTTTAGTAGGAGTCGTTTGCTGATATTTAAAAAACTACTAATTGAGTGCCTGTTAGAAAGGTTTGATTTTAATGACTTATAAGTTAAGACTTTTTTAATAAACTATAGTCTAGTAAATCTGTACTGAAATTCCCACTTGGAGGCGTGAAACTCATGTAGTAAAAATAGAGTTCCAGAGGTTCCTTCTGCCAATATCATTGGCTGCTTTCTGTGCCATGAAAGTGTTTCCATGTTGTGATATTCCAGCCTGGGGCAGGGGTAGAGCAGCACCAATTTGAATGGCACAATTTGGGAAACATTACTTTTGTTTCTCTTGCTTTGCACTCTTACTCAGGTCTCTTTTAGAAAAGAAAATAATTTAATATTTTACTTTAATTGTAAGGGCTTGAGGATTTCTTCTGAGCAAAAAAAATCTCTGGAAAGACGAGCAAGATATCCCCAGGAGACTGTTTCATGGACTCTAACCTCCCATTTCCTTCTTTAAATGCTGCTTATCTGAGAGATTTTTATATCTGTGTTATTTTAGATGATCACTTTATGTCACAGACAAGCCAAGAGCTGGATGGTGGTGCAGTGAAAAGCACCCAGGGCACTGCTAATTTGTCCCTCCAAGTCTGGCTTTTTCCCCCTCTCCTTGAGGCTTAATTCTGTCTCATGACTCTCCTCTGATGGTCTGTGGTTTCGTGGAGGCACTCAGCATTCTTGGGTGGTTTTCCCTTTATTTTGGGAATGCCTCACGTCAGGCCTGCACGCCAAGCATCCATCACAGCACACTCAGGCTCTCTTTGTGCTGGGGGATTGCTCCTGCTCATTGTGTTTTCCCTGGAGCTTCAAGCAACATATTTTCTCCGTGGGTAAATTAGGGCAAGGCTTTGCTGAGTGGTTTTGTGCATTAGTTCAGTCTGAACTGAAAGTGGCTTTTCCAGCTCACAAGTGAGGTGCCTCTGTCCATCTGCTCCATTGCATTCCCACCTCTGGGACTGAGGAAATATTAAAATATTAGTAAAACACTTCTAAACTTTCATTGCAACAGCTGCTCTGGGGCGAAAAAAAGCTGCTATTTGCCTAAATTAAACTTACTTTTAATATACCAACTGCTGTGAAATTAAGTCAGGCTCAAACAGGCCACACATTAGGTACAGGCACATGTCAAGTGACCAACCTGATTAGATTAATAGGAGCTATTAATTAAAATAAAACTAGATGGGTTTATAAGACTGTGGAAATCAATAAAAAGCAATCAGAAGGCACAGAATACCTGTCAGATATTTTAGATGCTGAAGGTGGTGCAGGATGAGCAGATTCAGGCCACACTTGGAACACATTGCAGAGGAGCTCATGGAAAGTGAGGGTGGAGGAAAAAGAAGAAGGAAGACCTCAGAAAAAAAAATGGATAAAGTTATGGATTTATGGTTTCTGAATAAAATTAGAAAAATTCTGAAAAGCAATTCCCCAGAGGCTGGAATGAAATAATTTAAACAGTGTGCTGTAGATTTTTCTGCTCACACCTAGAAGTAAGTCTGGGAGATGTAGTCAGGTAAGGCCAGGCAGTGATGGAAGAAAGTCAGTTCTCATCAGTTTTGGTCCTTTGGTTTAGAAGATTATTGGCAAATTGCAACTATTTCACTGCCAACATTGGGAGTATCAGAGTAATCTGAATTTTGAGCTGTTTGGATGAAAACCCAGGGGTCTGAGCAAGAATGTTAATAAAGGTACTGCTTGTGCAGGGAAAACTTTATCCAGATTATCTCCAGAATATTGTTGAGACATTCCTTTTGAAAGGTGCAGTTTCACACAGCTGGAATTAGATCAGAACTTCCTTTTATATTCATTTAACAGTGGTGAAATAAAGGTGGGATTTCTGTACCAACATTTGCTGTCAAACCATCCCCATTTCTGGAATGACAACTTTATACCAGGATGAGGAGAGATTTATCTTGCATTCATTCATTATTCACCACAAAGATAATAGACATTTAGTGCTGTTAGAATGATCAGTAATTATGATGGATTGACCCAGCAGCAGATGGAAGAGAAAGAAATGTGGGGTGTTAATAAAATGTGCTCCTGGAATTGCACATTGCTGGTCTCCAAGAGAGAATTCCTCACTCTGTCCGCATTGTAGATGGTTTTGGGAATACAAGTGCAATGATTTTGTTGCTTTTAAATATATTCTTCAGCCTAAATTTAAAAGAAAAATAATTATTTTTGTGAAGGGATGTGTTTTGACAACACTTCAAAGAGCAGTACTCGATGGCTGTGCATTAATTTCCTGTCACTGTGTATTGTCATATTTAAAGCTCTAGATGGGGATAGTTACTAAATATAACTCAATATCTACTCTACAGAGTGTAGATTTCAAAGAATTTAAGTTTTTTCAAACAATGCCTGGACTTCCAAAAGCAAAAATTGTGGTATGCATTTGTTGTTTTGACTCCTTTTCACGCTGCCCCACAAAGTTTAGGCCAGAAACTGCACAGAATTCTCAAATTCACTATACAGTCTGGGTTTATGTGTTGGTTTTTTTTCTGAATCATTAAAGAGAAACTTAGTTAATAATCAGTTTTAGAAGTGGAAATAAGCATAAAGGTGGTGTCTGGGCAAACCTGAGTGTCCCTTGCAGTGTCTGGTTAGTGGCTGCCAGGCTGAAGTGGATAATGGGGCAATTCTATGTTGAATTTTCGTGCTTAAATATGTGGCCAAATCAGTGTTAATAGAAATCAGCTCGTTTTGAAGTTCTGCCTTCAAATTCAAGATGAATAAATATTTTTAATCCAGCCAGAACACTGCTAATGCAGCCAATAAGATGCATAAATTAATAACCATCTGGTTTCCTATAAGGTGTTAATAAAGAGGACAATTAGGAGCCAACTACAACTCCCAACATTAAATTTAGGGCAAATTTAAAAACACTGATGCATCAATATTTATGTATTTATTTTTATAACTTGATCTTGAATTTGGACAAGGGTTTTTTTTTTTAATAACTGTACAAGAAAATGGTTCATTGAGGATCCTTGTAAGGCTGGTTTTGTATCAGTGTATCCAAAAACATTCCAGGCACATTCAGTTGCTTACGTGGTGTTTTCCATATGAAAAATGTGGGGGAAAAAATCCAATTAAAACCCAAGAGCTTTTAAAAGTATGTATGTGGAATGTTTTGTGATCAGCTTTATGATTTGTAACTTTTATAAAGGTGAACCAAGCAACCTTGGCACTTGGTCACGTGCCTTGGACTTTGCTTCTGGATGGAATTATTATAAATTAGTCAGAAAGATGCCTGTATAATGTGCATATGTAAAATTATATACTATAGTGTTATAGCATTAGATTGGATATTATCTATAAAATACTTTATACATATTTATAAATGCATATTTATTTATATATATGTGCACATATATATATATATATCAGGAAAGGCTCTCTGTCAGCACATGTAGAACAGAAGTATTTATATTTTTTCATGCCTTTGTTTTATGTTTTTCAAACACAGCTGCTGTTACTTTCCTTATTGGTACATAAGATAGGCACAGATCTGCTCTTGAGCACATCCAGTGGGGAGAAAAATCCCATTAAAGGAACAGAAGGATTATAGGGAAAAAAAAAAAGTTAGGCCTTTACAGTGTTTAGGCAAGACAAACTGCCAGGTTACAGGTGGTAAAGAATTAGTGTAAATCAAGAGAATTGGCACATTGTGACAAATTCCTAATTCCATGAATTGTTCCCATGTGGCTCCGTTCGTCGCCGTCGCGGAGGCTCTTTGGTTGCTGGACGTCACCTTTGGGGTGATCTCCTTCCTAACCCCAAAAATGGGCTAATTTCCCTTGCTTTCTGCTCTCTTTGGCAGGTCAGTTCCACTTAAGCATGTTAAGGACTGTCATTAAGTCACTAGTTTCTTTTCTGCCCCTCTTCGACCCGACCCACATCCCGTTCATCCTGCGCTTCCTCCGGCCGTCGGCAACGCACCGGTCCCAGGTACCCCGAGCTTCGCAGGACCTCCACGTGTACAGAAGTGTCCAGATCCTTCTGCAATGTATTGGACATTCCCATCTCAGTAAGGATTAGGGAGTCTGCCACTCCGAGCCCACCTTGGCGCTGGTTTAGGTTGGCGCTTCCACACTCAGAGCGATGCTTTTTTTTTTTTTTTCCAAGTCCTCCGTTGCATCGGTAAATCCCGACTTCTGGCATCAAGGAATTAATTATTCACTGACCAAGTGCCACCAAAGGCAGGTGATTGTGCTCTGTCATGACTGATTTACTGTATAATATACATATTATTTTATATTTTTAGGGGATGAAAATGTGCTGCTATATGGTTTTCGTTTTACTTGCTTTACATTTTCAGAAGGAAATTTCCCCAAAGAACCATTTGTAAAATCCCGAGGGAACAAAAAAAAAAAACAAAAAAAAAATAAATAAAAATCTCTGGACTGTGTAAAATAACCTTTATTGCAGTACCTGGTAAAGATCAAACGGGATGCAGAGAAATCTGTTAGTGTAGAGCTAGGATTTGAAGTTTGGTAGTTCCATGAATATTATCTGTGTGACCTATTTTAAAATTAAGATCCGAGCTGCTGCTTGTAGTTCTCCCGACGGTGGTGGGTTTTCCTGGAGTGTGTTTGTGAGCGTTGTTCCCTAGGAAGTTTTGAAGGCTTTTCAGAATGCGGTGGAAATCTTGTCTAGGAAAATCTGACAAGTGTTTCCCCCCCTCTCCTCCTCCTTTCCCCTTCCCACATGCCTTTGGGAATTCAGATCCCGGAGGGAACATTCCCCGACCAGAAAGGACATAGCTTAAAGGAACAAAGGAAAAGAAAATCCCCCAAATCCCAGATACTCCCTTAAAAAATTAGAGAGTCCAAAAGGAGGTGAGAGTTGTACACTCGAGCTGTCCTTTGCAGGCCAAATTTGGGAATACATTTGCAGGGATGTGAGGAGCACATCCCAAGGGGAAAAGAATGTTTTTGTAGGTCACTGTATGCAAATCATCCTACGGATGGTGCTCACCGAGGTAAGGACGAGCCTTTCCTGGATCTCTTTTTCCAGCCAGGCAGCAAATTCCCATCTTCCCAGCAAGGGGGCACTGGAATCTCTCCGGGAAGGTGCTGCTCCTCCTCCTCCCTGCCCGCACATTCCTCCCGGGGCAGGTGACACGGTCGGGCTTAGGGAAGCCGGGATTCCAGGAAGGTTAGGCCGAGCATAGCCCTCTAGTCTTCTTTTGCAGACCTTTGCTCTTATTTAATTTGAGATTGGTTGGTTGGTTGGTTGGTTGTTTTTTAATTTCTGAACCTGTTTGTTAGTAAGAGTAGAACTATTCAGTTACTTAGAGTGTATTTTGGAAGATTGTGAATTGACTTTAGATATTTTTTTTCTACTGAAACTAAGTTGTTGCAAAGTAAGTTGGGACTTAATTTAACTGTTTTGGTTTTTTTTTTTGTTGTTTGTGGGTTTTTTTTAATGTTGCACTATTTTGGGGAGCGTTTTGCTAAACATATTTAATGAAGCTGCAAATTTGCATGTATTTAATTTATTTTGTATTTTTCAGAGTTTTATATTTTCTTTCTTTACGTGCATGTGCACTGCCAGAAGAATGAACTGTGAACTTGCCATATGCAATCTTGAATAAAATCACTAATCCACAACTACTCTGTGCTATCTTACCAGCTGCTGGGAGCTGAAGTTTCTACTCTGAACTAATAATCCTCTTGTTTTGGTTCTGAAACAGCTATTTTGGGAAAGATACCAAACTTATTTGCTGTCAAAAGATTTTTGTGTCGTAGGAAAACTTTTTGTTCTGTCTTTTGAATTGGGAGTTTGGTATGGAATTGTATTGTAGATGCAATATTAGCTTAAAAAAAAAGGTGTGAGTTCCTCAGAGCATCACCAGGGCAGTTCTGGAGGGCAGTTCTGAGAGCTTTCTGCAGCTTGAGGGATAAGTTAACTTGGACATCTCTTAATGGTGCTAGTGCTGATCAGCCAGTCAGTCCCACTAGCCGAGAACAAATTAAGTTTCTCCAAGTTCACTTTTCCATCCGGACTGCAGGAGGATTTCCTCCAACTGGAATGCCAAAAGGATGCCTTGGGCTAAAATTCTCCAAATGTGTAATAACTGGAAATCACAAATTCTCAGTTGAACATACTCTGCTTCTGTATCTATTTTGATTTTTTTTTTTAAGCCTATTTTAATCAGGCGACTTCAGTTTGTACCGCGTGCTGTATATTCAACTTTTGTACCATTTTTAAAGCTTTCACGTTTTATATCGAGAGGAAAACCACACATCTGCTCTGCAGAGATCCAAACCTGTCTCCTGCCGTTTCTGCCACCTGATCCTTACTTTCTTTGCTCTTTGAGTGTTGTGTTCTATTTACTCGAGGCTCATTTTCAAGTTGTGGTTTGTACAGCGCAAAAGAAATTTCACATCTAAAAATGTCATGCATGGGACAAATTTGGGTGGAAATACGAATGGGAAACGTGTTTCAGATGGAACTAAAGTGCATATTGTTCTTTTTGCTAGTATTTAAAAAGTATTTCTGGCTCACTCGAGCTTCTCTTAATGATATGTTCAAATATCTTGTGTTCGTCCTTGAGTTCATGTTTCATCAACTTGTTTTCTGGAAAGCAAGGAAAGTTTTAGGCCTGGAAAGATCTTGGCTGATGCATTTTTAAGTTTGTATTCAACAAGGGTGAGAGTTTGATTATCCTGAATATACCAAAAACTTAAAAATTAAGTCACAAGGATTTTTACTACAGAACCCTGAGTAAATTTTCGATTTCATTTTATAAATCCCGATGGACTAAGGTTGCACGTTTGCCTGAAATCTTTATAAATCAGAGAATCCTGGAGTGGATTGGGTTGGAAGGAACCTTAAAGCCCATCCAGTGTCACCCCCTGCCATGGGCAGGGACAGCTTCCACTGTCCCAGGTCGCTCCAAAGTGGGCTTGGACACTTCCAGGGATCCAGGGGCAGCCACAGCTTCTCTGGGCGACCTCTGCCAGGGCCTCACCACCCTCCCAGCCAGGAATCCCTTCCCAATATCCCACCTAAACCTACCCTAAGAATTTTAATTTGAACACAGTTTAATTTGAAGAAAAGGGTGTTTAAACCCAACGGTGCCGAAGGTCCGACGGGAAAAGGCCCCACCAGATTTCCGCTGCCGGAGGAGAAACACCTCCTGCAAACACCAAGTCCCACCTCGACGGGAAGAGGGGAGGAATCAGGAAATAAATTGATAGCAGGATAATCTTAATCTCCCCTTGCTTTGATATATTTTTTTTGTTTCCTGTCTTCACTGTGCCTGTACGAGCTGCGCCGTGCACCGGCAGCATCCGCCGTGCAGGAGGGAACTGCTCCGGCCGTTCCTTCCCGCCCTCACAGCCCTGCCCACGGACACCCCTCTCGCTGTGGGAGAGCCACGGGGGGGGGCTGAGGCATTCTGTAGATTTATACCTGTCTAGTTTGTAAAGTTGTGTAATGTGTACTGCAGATGTGTATTCTCTGGGCTCTATGTATCTTTACAGTAGTGTTCAATTTAGGATTAAAAAAAACAAAACAAAACAAAACAAAACAAAAAAAAAAAAAAACAACCCAAAAAAAAAAAATGTGGACACGTTTTGCTGGTACCAAGGGGAAATTTTTTTTGCCATTGCATCAAACGATGCTGAAATGTATTAAACTCTTGATAGGAAACCTGAACCCTCTTTCCCCCATCCCGTGGAGATAAGTCTTTTATCTTCATCCTGAAGTTCTACCGGAGATGGATGGATACACTGGCAGACTGCATGAGATGTATCATTCGAAATCCGTTACAGTGGAAAATAAAACTGAGCTAAACTCTGCGGTGTGGGCCTTGTGTGACACGGGACGTCCAGCAGGGACTGCTCTCTGTGACAGGGACAGCACCCAGGGAATGGCTGGAGCTGTGCCAGGGCAGGGTCAGGTTGGGTCTCAGGCAAAGGTTCTTCCCCCAGAGGGTGGTTGGCACTGCCCAGGCTCCCCAGGGCAGTGGGCACAGCCCCAAGGCTGCCAGAGCTCCAGGAGGGTTTGGATGATCCTCTGAGGGACAGGGTGGGATTGTTGGGGTGTCTGTGCAGGGCCAGGGGTTGGACTGATGATCCTTGGGGGTCCCTTCCAGCTCAGGATATCCCATGATTCTCTAAGTGACCCATTCAATGGAATTGCACTCCAGAGCGTGCTGGAGTCCGTGTCCAAGGCCACGCTCTGGATTTTAGCTTTCCTTCTAAACCTGCACCAGGTAATTCATAGAATCCCAGACTGGTTTGACTTGAAGCAACCTTAAAGCTCATCTCATCCCACCCCCTTCCATAGGCAGGGACACCTTCCACTAGCCCAGGTTGCTCCAAGCCCCATCCAACCTGGCCTTGGACACTTCCAGGGATGGGGCATTAATTAGAAGGTTTGGATGGCTGGGAAATGAACACAGCATTTTAAAATTTTTTTTAATAAGTAATTGCATCTTCTCTGTTACCTCTCCATGGACATATTCCTTCTTCCTCCTCTTTTTTAGTAGCCTGGAGTATGACAGGGAGACTCTTCCACTTACCTTCTGCATGCATTTCCATTTTTATAGGAATATTACACTCACTTTATGTACAGTGTAGTGAAGTTCCTGCCTCCTTGCCACCTCCCTTAAGTCATACTCGGGAGCTTTATAAACAGCTTATTTCCAGTAATTATTACTCTGAGCAGTTCTCAATTAAATCATTACCTTTCTCCTCAGCAATGGAAATTCCATTGGATTCTGTGGAAATGGGTTGCTCCCTTTTTTTGGTTGATGAGTGGATTTCTAATGAGAATTACGTGGTTTTTGCACCAAGCCTAGCAGAGGTAGAAATCAGTCTGGCAAAATTTGGAGTTGATTATTTCTAAATCAGAATAAATATTGGATTGTGCTGCTTTCAGTGCGTAAAAGGCACTTCCTCGTGCTCTGAGAAGCTGCTGCCTGCAGGATGAGGATGGATCCATCGGGGAAGAAGAGGCTTTCCAGTATACATGGTTTATGTTAGGAGAGCAGATGGGAAGTCCGAACCTTCCCCCATAGTCCTGTAGAGGAAGGCAGACGCTGTGCGGTGCCAGAGCTTTTTCCATGAGTTAAAACCCTTCTAGATCTCTTTGATAAACCTCGTGCCTGGAGGATGAACTCAATTACAGAGCAGACTGTTTGCAAGTTTATCCCTACAATTTCGCTTTCGGAATGTGGGATCGCAGCAGTTAATTAACTCCATGAAAACATCACAAATTACTGTATCCATTTCGAAGATCCGGCTTACGCAACAGCCCAGCGAAAAACAAAGGGTTTGCATCCCTAGAAAAACACTCGCTGCCAGCCTCTCATTGTTGATTTCAACACTTCTTAACTCCGGCTTAAATACTTTAAATTTACCTTCTAGCACAGCTGCACCCAATGGAGACTATTTATCCTTAAAATGAGGTTGGTCAGTAGTTTGGGCTCAAGTCACCTGGTGGTCACACGAATCAGCTCGTCCTTGATACGCTTTGATGCCACGTTGATGCCGGTCCCGGGGGAAGGGGAGGGTGTCGGGGAAGGTGTCGATGCAGCTCTCGGGGGGATGCTCGGGTGGGGGGTCCCCTCCTCGCCCCCGCAGCCGCCCGGGCGGTCCCGCCCTGCCCGCAGGTCCCACCGCCCCGGGGGCGGGCGCGGGGTGTCCGAGCCGAGCTCCCCGCCCCGGCCCCTCCTCCAGCACCAGCACAGCCCCAGCCCCGTGTCCTGGTGCTCCAGTGTCCCGGTATCCCGGTGTCCTGGTATCCCGGAGTCCCGGAGCGGCCGCCGAGCCCGCCCCTGCACGGACGGTGAGTGCGGGGAAGGGGCCCGGGAAGGGAGCGGGGCTGGGACGGGCTCGGGGCTGCGGGTCCCGTCCTGCCGCCCCAGGGGATGCTGAGCCCCGGCCCCAGCCCCGGCGGTGTCGGGGAGCGGGAGGTGGCACCGAAATTCGTGTGTCCCCAGCTCCGCGGGGAGCCGGAGATGGCACCGAAATCCATGTGTCCCCAGCCCCCCTGGTTTTGGGAAGTGGGAGGTGGCACCGAAATCTGGGTGTCCCCAGCCCACTGGTTTTGGGGAGTGGGAGATGGCACCTAAATCTGGGTGTCCCCAGTCCCGCGGATAGTGGGAGGTGGCACCGAAAACGGGGTGTCCCCAGTCCCAGGAGTTTTGGGCAGTGAGAGGTGGCAGCAAAATCGGGGTGTTCCCAGCCCTGTGGGGAGCAGAAGTGGCACTGAAATCAGGGTGTCCCCAGCTCCACTGGTTTTGGGGAGTGGGAGGTGGCACCGAAATCAGGGTGCCCCCAGCCCCACTGGTTTTGGGGAGTGGGAGGTGGCACGAAAATGAGAGTGTCCCCAACTCCGTGGGGAGCAGGAGGTGGCAGCAAAGTCAGGGTGTCCCCAGACCGTGCAATTTTGGGGAGCAGGAGGTGGCAGCAAAGTCAGGGTGTCCCCAGCAGCTGTGGTGCTGGTGGGAAGGAGCCAGACTGTGGGAAGGAACCAGGCTGTGGGAATCGCTGGGTGTGCAGCGTCGAGGGACCCAAATCATAGCCCGTGGTTTACAAGTCTGTTGTAAAATGCAGTTATTGCACATCTCCTGATGGTTATAGAGCTGTAAAAGGTTCTG